AACTGCAGAATAATGACAGGGAGGCTTCACAAAAGTACAATTATATATTCTGAAGACACACAATCATCAGGGTGGTTGAAAAAGACAGCAGGTGTTGTTTCGGTTCTGCCCTCAAACATTTAGCATGTAAAAATGTTGACGTAAACACTGGTGCAAACTATTTTTTAAGCATTAAACAGTAACATAATTAAACAAATCAAAACACAATTATGTTTGATATTCATCAGTGTTTACAAGGACGTTATAATTTCATAATTTATTGATCAAGATAAAGTTTGATAAAAGATATAGAGCTGTTTAATTTTTATAAAAAAAACTTCTTTCACTTCAACTTCATTGGCCTCAAGGGGAAATTTGTTCTGCAGCCCGAACCACAGAAAAATCAGGCACATAGACTCAGACACTGGAAACAACAGAGAAACATTAAATACATAAATACAAGAGTACATCCAGTAACAACAGGAAACCAAGAATATATAAAAACCAAAATAAAAAACATCATCAGTAATCAGGGTTATTGTTAGAATTCAGTATCTTTTGACTTGAAATATAAAATAATTTTTAAGAAAAATGTATGGATGTGTACACTCTCTGTCAACTCAACCAAAAGTCCTGCAGTGACCACAGTTCATTTGTTGATCGATGCCAGGAAATACTGAGCATTTTAAGAACCATAACATGAAGTGTATCAAAAATAATAATACCTGTAATGATTTGCTGCGCAGCTTTCTTTCTATAATAAAACCATCCCTGCTGCTCATTTTGTTTCCACTGGATGGATGCTTCATTGAAACCTGAATGTGAACGTTTCCTGTTTCTGCTGTAACATGAAACTTTTCTGCTGCAAAAACGATGTTGAAGGTGAAACTGTTTGTTTCTCTCTGGGTCACAGCCCCTCTGGTGATGTTTTACTCTGCTGTCACTCTCCTGTCCCCTTCATCCATCATTGGATTGGTTTTGGCAAAAGACATGCAGCCAACAATGGTCCCAAGGCAAAAAAATAAAAGTTGTTTGGCCCCTATTAGTGTCTGAAGAGCCAGAAATGAACCTTAAGTGCTCTGCCCTGCACTGCCTGAGGACCTGAGGAAGCACCACACAATGAACGCTGTAAAACGCAGATGGAGAACCTCATTTTACACTACGTTTTAAAGTGATAATGAGGGAAAGTGACAGCTAACCTTTAACCTCCTTGATAAAATAAAATAAGAACAAGTTTGTTCATGTTATCTCAATATTCAGCATCGTTATGATTGTACTGTCAAGACAGTTTACATTAAATTAATTATCAGTTCCAGGCAATCAAAGATAATTAGCTTTAGGAATCAACTCAAAAAACCTAGAAAAGAAACAAATCTTATCACATCTAGGCTCCCTGTTCTCATGTTATCTTGTGTCAGCCTCTCTTGAATCCATATTTCAGTTATCAGTGATTATCTGGAGTTGTTGTTTGTCAACCATTAACCTACTTTCTTTTTCCCGCAGAAGCCACGCGTTGTCTTAATTATCATTACTCTTACTTGTTTTTATCAATCAGTAGGCCTACAGTTTATTTGAAAAGTCTTTTGTTTCTTGGTTAAGGTTGTCCACTGCAATGTTTGTCTACTCCTTTTATAACTATCATTTATTGAATTGGTCTTTGTGCCAGTCTGTAGTTTTTCATTTCAAACTGTCATGCTGCTATCTTTGCCAGGAGTTCATATGAAAGAAATTGTTATTGTTTTTTAATGAATAATTACTCACTTTTCAGTCTGTAAGTAAATTAATTATTCATTATTATTTTAACACTGTTATGCTCCTATAAGGAACTTTTGGTTTGTGTTGATTTTGGCTGCACTGGTTGACAAAGCAGGTCCTGTAAATACAGAAGCCCTAAGTAGACATGCATCAAAAGACCCTTTAAGTCTTAGTAAACATGTTTTGGTGGGCGGGGCTTAGCTGGGGGCAAAACAACCCTCCAGACATGTTAGCCAGCGACAGTTAGTTAGTAGTTTTACTAACTAAAGATAACACGGGTCTCTCTGAACATGTGAGGTCACTTACTCCCCGGGGCTGAGAGTGTTGAATAATTTAACACAGACAAACAGGAGCAGACTGGCCGACCCGTTAGCTCTCAATCAGTGGCTGGATTGTTTGACTCAACAGACATTTAGACTATGATAAAAAAAAACAAGGGTGTAAAGACAAACTGATGGTGTGTAAGTCCTGAGATGGAAGATGCCCATAACTATGTTGCGAACAGCCGCGTTCAAGACTTAAAATAGCATACCAAGATCTAACTAATGAGTTTTGTCGTGTGGTCTGAAGTTCTGCCCAGCCAGCGGCATGGTCCTAAGACAGCCATGTTCCAGGGTTGGGTCGTTGTCAACACAGCGAACGACAACATCTTGATGGCGACGTCATTAAACTTAAATTTCTTATGATAACAAGTAGGATCACGAAGACGAATAACATTCAGCTGTTTCTCAAGATCTCAAGAAATATACTTGCAATCTTGAGAAAACAATTGAAATGTACTAATTATCACCTAGAACTGTGTTTAAGAAATGTATGTATGTAAGTCTGCCTAGGGCTTCCGTATCTACATGTGTAAGAAGTGTGTTTTCTTAACCCTTTGCTGTCAAATACATCACACATTGTCAACAATTTCAGTGGAAAATGTAATAAAAAAAAGTAGGAGGCACAATTATGGGTATTAAAATAACACAACATATTCTTGATGATGGTCCTGTTTGCTTTTTTAAATCATAAAGAGGCATCAGTGTTAATTTGGGTATACTTTATATCAAGCTAGACAATCCTCACCACTGACGTGGCACCTAAAGCAGAAGAGGAAGAAGAGGACGGTTAAATAAAAAAAAGAACTTAATAGGAAAACATCAGTCAGGTTTGTGTGATTGTAGACAAGATCAATACACAGTGGAACATGTTATTTGGCATTGCCAGAAGAATGAAACACAGAGAAAAGCTAAAGGAGGAGCTAGTTATTCTGGCCCTTACTGCAGCATAGCAGGTGGTGGTAATGCACAGTTGCCACATTGAAGAAGAAGAAGAAGAAGAAGAAGAAGAAGAAGAAGAAGAAGAAGAAGAAGAAGAAGAAGAAGAAGAAGAAGAAGAAGAAGAAGAAGAAGAAGAAGAAGAAGAAGAAGAAGAAGAAGAAGAAGAAGAAGAAGAGAAGAAGAAGAAGAAGAAGAAGAAGAAGAAGAAGAAGAAGAAGAAGAAGAAGACAATGTTTATATTTGGGAAGACAAGTGACAAGTGTGAAACACCTGAGAGAGACAGGTTGAACGAGGAAATCAGAGCTTTTAAAAAAAAATGTATTTAACTATATCTAACCAGGTTATTAACCTATTGAGGTCCAGTTGTCTTTCACGAGGGTGACCTGGCCAAGAAGGCAGCAGCACACATCACAATAAAATTAGGCTATAATTAAGAAAGAGTTTACAAACATACATTAAGAGAAACAACAATTAGAATTGAGAGAAAGTGTGAGAGTGGTACATGGGATGAATACTGGGCACTGAGAGAGAAGGAGATGGGATGAGAGCTGTCAGGAGGGCTCTTTTTTCCTCCTTATATGACACAAGGTTGTCAGGCGGGATTTGAAGGACATTTGAAATTAAATTTATTTTGTTTGTTGTAACAAAAAAAAAAAGAAGAAGCAAAAACGTCAAATTTACAAAAAAAATACATTTATGGATTAAAATGGCCGAAAGGGTGTGGGTCGAAGCTTTGGCAAATTATGCCCACCATTAAAACGTTTTTTAAAGGTTTTAAGTGAACAACACATTTTAAGTCATTGTCAAAACTAGTCCACAGGTATGAGGGACAAAAAATGACTAAAGTATAAATAAATAAATGTTGGGAGAAATGCATACAGTAATGTATAAATAAATAAATAATTAAATAAATCCATCAATAAATATATAAATAAATATATATATAAATAAATGCAACAATTAATATTAAAAATAATATATAAATACATATATTCATATATTTATTGATGTATTTCTGTGTCCATGTTGTACAAGGAAAATTATTTCCTTATTTCCTTTACTGCGCTTACCTTCTCATTGCTTTTTATTTGCTTTTATCTCTTAGTTTCTTACATCTTTTTAAATCTTTGGTCCTCTTGGTCTCAGCTCATGTTGTTGGGTTCTTGTGTTCCTGGGTTCTTATGATGGTTCTTATGATGGTTGGGTTATATATGTCTGGTTGTGTATCGTGCACTTTGGGTTCTTTTCTGTTGAATTGTTTTTAATTATTTTTGGTATTTTGCATCTGTTATATTCTTACTGTTGTTAATGTTTTTCTGTGTTTAGTTTGCTTTGTTCTTGCTGTTTGTCAAAGCACTTTGTAAACCTGTGTTTTTAAAAGGTGCTATATAAATAAAGTTATTATTATTATTATAAGGAAAAGTAAATATGTAAATTAAGTGGGCCATCCTAACATTACTGAAGTAGGATTGGTCAATTTTGAAAAACAGACAGAAGCAAATTTACATATATACTTTTCCTCTTACAACATGGACACAGAAATAAATAGATGTGTAAATGTAATAAATTAATAACTCAATTAATGTGGAAATGTATGCATTGATACATATATAACTGTAGAAATACACTAATAAATTAATAAATACATTAAAAATATATAAATAGCCTTTTTCATTAACAAAGTGTATTTATTATTCATTCATTGATGTATTGTTTTCAGCATGTATATATTGTATTTATATATTTATTGATGCATTTATTTAATTATTTACTTATTTATACATTATTTTATGCATTTCTCCGAACATTTATTTATTTATTCATTTATTTATACTTTAGTCATTTTTTGTCCCTCATACACAAGACATGATGTACCGGATGTGATGTTATACACTCTTGTACAGTAGGTGGCGATATGCACCTTTAAGCTGTTTGCGATCCGCCAGAAACCAAAGAAGAAGAAGCAGCAGCAGCAGAAGAAGCGAGGCCAGCGTCCTGCTCGGTGTTTCGCTGCTGCTCAGTTGAGATGATTGACAGAGTCAGCAGAGGTTCACTCGGGCATGTCCGCTCACTCGCTCGGTTGTTATCGTAAACAGAAAGACCTGCAGCATGGCGAGTTCAGAAAGAGCTCACACAACATCGAGAACACCAGGCATCGGCTTGTTGAGGATTTTATTTATTGCTTTTATTCACACGACGCGGGCCAATAAACAAGGTTTGTAACTTAGCTGGCTAGCTGTGGCGCTAACTTCCGCAGAGAAGTGTGGGGCTGAGGTTACCTCTACGGGCCAACTTTAACACGGTGCTAACATTTATACCTCTCTAAATGTGCTACATGTAATCTTCTTCTCTTTGCCATTTACTGAATTTTAACTGGCGCTGGATGGCGTTTCCAGTTCAGAGTAAAAGTGCTACCTTTAGTCAGCTATGTGTGTTACCTTTAATGTTAGCTTCGTTTGTAGCATGTTGTCATGTTGTCATCCCCTCCTTATAAGGCTAAGTCAGGCTAACGCTCCCACCAATAAAAACACTAAATAACACAAACCAGCTGCTTAGCACCGTGGCTAATACTTATATTAGCACACATGAGCTGCTGTAATGCATCTGCATTCAGAGATGTCGGATTGTCAACATAAATGAGCACATTGTGTGTCTGTCACTGGCAGGATGGGCTAACCTAACTTCCCAACCCAGAACTCAATAAAGGAAGTGTTTGAAGCAGTCAGGTGACTTACATTTGTAAACGTGGCTGAGGGTTTTGATTTTGACCCCTTGGGTCTATGCCAGCTTGGCACTGATCTGACATCAGGGCCAAATGAACAGCCGCATGCTATTTATTTATCCAACAGACTGAAGTGTCCAGCTGTCAAATCTAGTGATCGTGTCAGGTCACAGTGACAATAAAGTCCACCAGTCCTGCGTGGACAGCTGCAGTCCACGTCCATGATAAGCTGTGCCAACCCTGAAACGTGTCTGGGGGCTGATAAAATGTTTACATTGGGTTCACCATCCAGACATTTATCTGCTCTTGACTGATAGAGGCACATTGCACGGGTTATTGGCAAATATTATGAAGTCAATTCGTCATGCTTCATTCTTTTATGTCCATGCTGCAAGCTTATCAAACTGAATGATATCACTCCAAGGAGTATTTCACTATTAAAACTATAAGTACAGATTTGTGCGGGTCCATGCCAGGAGTTGTGATATTCAATGGAGAAAAATCATAAAACTTCCTGATTTCTTTTACAATTTTTCTCGTTTGTTATGAATAGGACCACTCAATGTTTTCCATGGATGGAGCTTATTTTTGTTGAGAGTATTTAGGACATTGTCCTCTTAATAGTTTGGAACCCCCCCCCCAAATAAACACTTGATAAGAAGAGAAGAAAAGAAAGTGAAAGAATACGATCAAGTTTTGCTTTCTGTAAACTTGCACCTGATGCAATTGTTCAGTGTTCTTATCCTATTGATTTCCCCTATTTAGTTTCTTGTGTTTAACTGAGATACAGAAAGAAAAGTTATTTTTTAACCCCTATACTAGTCAAAAAATGTACAACCCTCACAGGATCCACACATGTCAAAAAACTTGACTTCATCTGAGTTTGATGAGCTTGTGTAATATCTGAAGCTTAATCTTGAAAGGTGTCAAGTGATTAGATCATCTGCTGTGGCTTTTGAATCTAGTCCTGAGGTATATGTAGAAATATAGATTTTTAAATATTTATCAAGATATGATTAATGAGATGATGCTGTCAATGTTTTTTTTTGGAAAACAGGAGGTGATTTGGACTGAAGACGATAGTTTATTTGCATGTTCTAAAGTTATTTATTACAGATAAAACGACTGATAAAATGCAGATTTCTGTTATAATCGTTCTTTCTCAGATGCTCCTTGCCAGACAAGAAGTGAGGCTACCAGCCAATCTGATCCTAATAATAGTTGAACTTCTCTATTGCTGCTTAGCTTGTGTTGGGTTCCATTATTCATCAGAGCATATTTTTTTTAACGTTTTTTTCCCTGGTGAATGATACCAGTAAAACACTGACAAAACGGTTTAACGTTAAGTCAGTGTTTCCCCGTTTCTGTCCTGTTTTACCTCTAGGGCTGCGGCTAACGTTAGCTCAGCATGTTACTCTCATAACTTCCAGACATCTGATGGCTAAATTCATTGTTTTAACTATGATGGTGAAAAAGGACAAATAGCCTACTAAAATGAAGTGTGGTAGTGATACAGTACTTGCACAGCGAGAACGTATACGGCTGGGAAGGTTTTAATTCTCTGCATGCTAGCTCAAAACACCAGATGGGTTTATTTCTGTTGTGATATAGTCTGTTAGAAGTATCCATCTCTCGCTAAATGTGCCCAACGTTTCTCACCATTGTTGACGTTTAATTTTTCAGGAGCCCACATTTAATGTAAAATCAGCAGTAGTTTAGCACATGTCAAATTTAATAAATGCTTCCCATGCTGAAAGTGCGCTGTGAATATGATCTGCAAAGTTTGATCTTGGCATCAGGCTGTCAGATTTCACAGGTGTCAGATAAAAAATCTGCTCTGTAGAATGAAGGCATAATACAAGTAGAGTAAAAGTAAAAGAGTATTGAGTTCTATTTAGGCTTTTAGCTTTTTGGTTTATGTATCCTTCAGTAGGTAAAATAACAGTTCTCACATACTGTCGAGTGCTTACAAAGGATTTCAAACTTTTGAACAGAGCTGAAATAAATCTCAAGATGTACTATTTATTGCTTGGGAAAGACAGTAAAGACGAGCCTCATTTTAGATATTCACATCATTCATCGACAGTGACCTGCCAAGTTGCCACTTCATCAACAGTTTGAATAACCACTTTAAAAGACGTAGTTGTCCATTGTGTCAACTGTGATCTTTAGCTGTGTCAGTACACAGAGCAAAGCAGATGCTACAGAGGTCACTGAGAGAGCAGTGGTGGTCCATTCAAATCCAGGTCAGCACATACTGATGGTTCTTAAGTTTTTTTGCCATCTTGTTAAGATTGAAAAGTTTCATTGTTTCTTTAGAACAGAGAGATGATAAGTGGCCACATTACAAACAAGAAATGACCCAATATTAGTGCCTAGAACTTGAATTGTTCTTTCTGTGTTATCATAACAAATATATTTTGACTTTAACTACTATTGTATGTAAGTTTAATATTCTGGTATTGTGACAATCCTAGCTGCAACAGCACAGCAGGCTGCAGAGTTTTAAAACAACCCTTCATCTCTCATTTTCACAAGTTTATTTTATCAGGAGACAAAAGATAAGAGAAGTTCTCCCCTTTTTAAAATTAATGAACCTGTGTTCTGCTGGTTAAAAAAAGAGAGAGGGGCTGTGTGAGCTAGGCTATGGCTTGTCTGCTTTAGTAGCTCAGCTTTGTTTAATGGTTGGAATTCCTTCAGTGTCCATCATTACAGAGGTTTGTACTGAGAACAAAGTCATCTACATGTCCCCTTGTTAAAAAATTGGTGTATTGAGAGCTGCGAGCTGAGCAGCCGACAACTTTTGCTCAGCTTCTTTCCTTTTTTTCTCTTACCTCATGCTGGACAATATAGTTAAAGAAACAATTGTGACATGACTTGAAACACTAGAGAAAGTAGGCCAGCAGCCGGGGTGTGTCTTACAGGTTTGAGACTCACAGGACTTGGGTGTGGCATTTAACTGAAGCTGGTTGAAGCTTTGTATAGAACAGCCAAAACGATTTATAAATGTTCTGGTTCAAGTTCAGCCCTAGACAAAGTATATTTGCTAAATCACAAGTGTTATTTGCAGTTTTTCCTTTGACAAAGTTTGACAGAACATGAACACAGATCTCAGGCATGATCTGTGTCTTCTCTGCAGGGGAAGTACAAGAGATCAAAGTTCAGTATAAAGTTATCTGTACTAGCAATATAACTTGGCCGTTCTTGAAGATATACAGAGAGATGACTTTGGCTTTGGAGGACTGGGAGGAGTTATTCGCTATTTATAGATCTGTTCTTTTCTGATATAGTGTCCCCTTCCTGTGCTTATAGGTGCTACATTTTTTAAACTGTGGATAAATTAGTTTGTTCCCCTTTTTTGGTGAGAGTGTTGACACTTACATGGCATTTTCTTCTTTCTCTTTCACAGCATTCATTCAGTCAGACACAATACTAGAAGTTTTACATTTTGGTGAAGGAGGCCTTTTACAGGTGAGTTTGAGTTTTGTGTTTCTTTTTATTAAACACAGAAGCGTTCACACAAGACCCAAGCAGGAAAGCGCCCTATACATTCAAATAAAGCCCTATACTTGATTTGCAAATGACATGCCTCACTCTGTGTGTTATAATGTAAGGCTCATTTAAATTAAATGTAAATCTTGTGTCTCTCTCTTTGCAGGCCGAGTCTGACATTGATTTTAGTTTATTTCATCAACAAAGGTAAGTTTACTTTGTAAATATTTTGCTGCAAGAACTCTTAAGAAACCATGTTTATGTGGTGTGGTCTGGTAGGCAGGCACTATACATCTTTGAAGTGTTGCTGCAATATTAGCATAAGAGGAAGACACAAGCATAGCCTTGGGGAGCTCCCGAACTGAATTGTCGAGGGCAAAACAACAGCAGCACGCTCTGTAGTGCTTCTAACTTTAACAGGACATGCACAAACGAAGTAGAAAACCATGATGCTGTTGAAATGATACTCCAATAACTTGGAAAATGCATCAGGCACTTCAGTCATATGGAGCAGCAAGGATTTTCTTTCAGCAAGGCAAACAAGAGTCCATTTTATTGCATGTGGCTGACATCAAAGTATCACTTGAAAACCACAAATAAAAAGCTGGAGCATCAAGTTGAGAAGCTGCCAGAGCCAACAAGGCGAGACGAAAACCACTTGAAGCTGCACAATCTTACTAACAGGCTTGTTAATAGAGTTGCATCATTTGCAGACAGAATTGCAAAGAGGCACTTTTATTTCTCGAGATCACACCTTGCCCCCCCCCCCCCCCAGCTCTCTGAAACATGTGCTGTTAGTGACGTGTCCTCAGCGAGTGTGTGTGTGTCTGTCACCTGGCATTCGACCAGACCCCGGTTGTGACTATCTCCTGACACAAGAGTTAAGCAGGTTCAGACCGCAGAGGCAGCTAATGTGAGTGTGACAGTTTGTACCCACAGTGACGAGGTGGGAGGGAGACCGACCGACAGACAGACAGACAGACAGACAGACAGACAGACAGACAGACAGACAGACAGACAGACAGTTGGTTTCATTTCTTTATGATTGCTTCAACCAGCCGAGCAATACCAGCGTCCCTGCTAAGGTCACAATGCATGTAAGTCAGGACTGTGAGTGCAGAGACAGACAAAGCAGACAGAGGAGGGCTTTAGGAAACTCCTAGTTTACTTTCAAGTATCTGAAAAATGTCAGACTTTTATTCCTTTGCACTGTGAGAATTCATGAATGCACTAAAATGCTTTGATAAACTGTGCTATGTAGACGTCAGATTTGTTGTTTTATCACTGTTATTGTTTCATCATGCCATTCCTTCAGTCAAGGAAGACTGTGATTGTTAGTGGATTTATTTTTCAGTGTGACAAAGATCCCAAGCACACTGTCAATGCAGTGAAATCATATTTAGAAAAACAGTCAGCTGGTCGGCTGCCCTCAGGGAGAGCCTTAAGATTGTTTTTTTTGACATTGGGTTGTCTAGCTGCTAAATAGACCTCCAAGGGGTTTTCGTTTGAGCATTTGGTTAGAAGAGTTTTATAGACTTAGTAGGGAAGGAACGAGCTGCTGCCACATTCATGCACCTCAGGGTCTAGAGGGACTGTGGGCTACAGGAAGTCTTGTTTTTATTTTATTTTGTAGACATATTTTTTGGTTGTATTCTAATGACGTGACAGGTCATTAAAAGTTTGCTAAAACAACCAAGCCGGAGTTGGCCTAATGCCTGATTTTAACCTCTGCGTCAAATCAATGCTGTAGCATAAGCCGTAGGTTCGGGTAGCCCTGTCCCTACATACCTAGCCTGATGTTCACCTACTCAGAAATGTAACTACCCGTGGACGTAACACGTCCCACAAGCCCTGTGGTTTATCCACTGGGTAGCATCGTATTTCCTGTGTTTACAACATTTGTGGTATTTTCTCATTTGCAAAATCCTGCAGAAGCTAGAATGCTAGCATGCTAGACGGGCCGGTGGAGGTTAATGACGTGAGTCTGCTGTGGTTAAACTACAGTGTTCAGAAAATGGACTACAAAAAACGCATCTAAAAAACTTTCCACTGTGCCTTCTTACCGGGGAAATAATCCTAGTTTTAAAAAGGTTGGGATTGAAATAAAAGAAATATAGACTACCAGGCTACAAGTAAGAAAAGTGAAACCATCACCTTCCTGTCCAATCATAAATCAACATCAAAATAAATGTGAAATTAATTGTTACATTTCTGCAAGATATACATAATTTTTTAAACATACAAATGCACAACTGCACAAAGTATTCTTAAGTGAATGAAATATGTTGAATAAAACATCATCTGGATAAAAATGTCTCTTATCTTTTTATCTCTTCACGATCGTCGTTAATGTCCGTGAACGGTTGGATGCGCGAGTCGCTTTAAATGTTGCGGCCGCAAGGAATTGTGGGGCGTCAAATCTCATCTCCTTTCGTAAAGGATGGTCCAGTGTGTCCTATGCTTAAGGAGGTTATAAAGGAAGCATTGACCCACCTTTCCTTAACTTTTAGAGAATTTGAACGGCTCTTATCATGGCCGCCACTTAAATGCTTCCGGGGTTAAGGTAAAGTGGATAGTGAAAGGAGATAGGAGGGACAATTTGAACGCACCTGTTGTCTTAGTTTCAGGCGCCATGATTTCCTGCACACAAACAAATAGAGAATGTGGGGGAACTGGAAACTGGCGACCTAACAGGCAGAGAAATGGCACTGCTAACAAGCATTTTTTTAGGTTACCCTTACCCTAAGCAGTCACACAAACACACAAGTATGTAGTGCTCACGACGGTGTAGGCCACTATGGCGGAGATAAGGCGTAGATTCATGCAGAATTATGAACCAGGCTTAAGGGTTTTTGCACAGTACTGCAGAAGATTTCACAGTATGGAAGGATGATTTTGGCATTGCAGACATGTTGTCTTTTTTTTATTTTTTATTTTATATTTTTTTACATATTTTGGTCTAAATGATAAATGGACACAAAAAGCTTCAAATGATTCAAACTGCTACTGAGACGGGCTGTAATGGCTGCAGGATAGTAATGTTCATCCACTGAAAGTGCTTGTGTGTTTGTTACAGGTTGATGTTATTATTCATGAGTAAAAGATCTGTACAGAGACGGACCTTTGTGTAAACAAATGTTGTTTGTGTTGCAAGAAAAAGCTGTTACATTTCTCTCTCTCTCAAAGCCTCCAGACTCCATTTTAAAAATAAATAAATAAATAATAAAAAAAAAGATCTGGTCTATCTGTATTGATTTTTATTCTAAGTTTGTGTGTTGTGCAAATATCCTGCTGGGTCCAAACTAACCATTTAAAGCACCAACGTCGGAAAGCAATACAAACAAACTAACCAATTGAGACAGCAATAGTCCAAAAGTTCTGTGTGCTGCAAATAAAACGGGTGTTTAAACGCATGTTGTCTGGTGACTTTGAAGAGAGCTTGGAACAGCTGTTTGTGGTTTAACTTAAGGATATAACTTTTTAACAAAAAGGTCTATCTCTGTGGCAAATCTTTCTTCAAGTTGTCAGTTATTTTATTTATAACAATTTTAAGAGCATTTGAAGAGGAAATACTTTGGTTTGTTGCATTTTCCCTGAAAGTTTCAGTGCAATTCCAATTTCTTTTGTCCAAACATTCAAGTAAGAAGTAATTTTTGTCACCAGGATCGTTCAGTTCTTGTGTAGTGGCCTCTACATAACATCAGCGCCCAATCCTAACTTTACACATGTGTGTTTTTGTCTGGCTTGAGTGTGCAGCAAGCCTTAACTACTCGTACTTTGTGTTCTTGTCCATAAAAGGGTTATCTTGCACAGGCATAGTATGACCACTCCCTCAAGTTGGGGGGAGGGGATCTTCTGCTGTTTGGCTTTGTTGATTCATGTTTTTTTTTTTTTCTGAAAGTTGAGCTTCCCCTTTTTCCTCAAAGTCTGTGTGTTAAGGCTATTTGAGTATATGAGGAGGAAATAATGCTCAACAGAGAGATGTTCAGTGTTCTCTTTTTCGAAGAACGCCGGCCACTTCAGGGGGGAACCAAAATGCTTCTCACGTGTTTGTTTTTGTTTGTTTTAAATGCACTCGTCGTAAATACAGCCCGTCATTAAATGGACATATGTAGACCTTTTAGACCAAGAGGCAGCAGCCCTCCTCATGATCTCCCCAGCTACTCAAATTACACCACTGACATTCAACACATTAGCTCTGAAGTGCCGGAGCAAAGATCACCACACAGAATTCACAGCCAGGATCCATTTGAATCTTTAATCCCACAAGAATTTTGTCAGTAGTTGTTATATTAATGAGAGAAGTGAGGACAGGCTGCAGATGAGAGATTATCCAGGAGGAACACACTGCATGGTCAGGTCTGTGTGTGGACTGCTGCCAGCCTCGGGATGAAAATCCATCCGTCTCCAGCGAGCTCTGCTATTGAAGCACACTGCTGCAGCTATTGTCTGCTCCTGTACGCGTAGGCCTGGTAGGAAAAAGGTGAAACTGATCTCTGGTAAATTGTCTGACTCCAGGGTAATTTTAGGATGATTAACACGTGAGAGATTTATTCATTGTGATGCAGAAGGGAGGAGGTGCCATCCAAACTTTAACAGCAGAGATTCTGTACATGTAGGTGTGGTTTTTTTTTTCCCCATCAAATAATTTGTAGCTTTGTCACGGACCACACCCTTTTTATAAATGATGAAGTTCCCGGCTCTTATTACATAGTTTTGCTGCATATCAACCCTGCCAAAAAAAAGAGCAGCTTCCCCGTAGGCCCTATCTATTGTAAAGATACACCTGTTGTTAGACAGGTTTGGGGAGCTGTGCCTGTGTATGCTGACTAGTGATGGTGTTGCCTTCATGTGAGAGCGCACCAAACTGGAAATGTGACGCTAAGAGATCGGTCTTGTCCGCTTCTCTCTCAGTCTTTTGGATTTTCATCGGACTCATTATGTTTGTAAATGTTGGACTGCAGATGGGAGTGGTCTCATGTCCATCTCAATGCTTTGTTTAAAGTCCTGGACACAGGCTGCGTTGTCTGTGTTTGTGTGTTTGGCCTCTAGTTTGTTTGAAATGCACACAAACATGGAAACTTTCTTTCCTGGCATGCTGACGCTGCTGATTTTACATCTTCCTGTCTCTCACAGCACGTCCCCGCATCGTGGGAACTGCCGACCTATACGATTTGAACCTCCGATGTTGGACTTTCACGAACAGTGAGTGTTTGACGCATTCTCACAGTCTCTTCTCAGTTTGTTTTGTGTAATCTTTGTTTTTATCAAATTCTGTTTCAGGCACTTTCTTTCAACAAAAAGAGTTTGTGTTGTTGGCGATGCAAGGCTGCGTTTCTCTAAAGCACATTTTAAACACGGGCGATTCTAAGGGCAAATGCACGAGGACATTTAACAACAATGACCAATAAAAGCCAAAATAAAACAATGAGGGGTTAAAAAAAACAAACAGAGCCAGAAGCAGTTTCACACTGCCTGGTTCAGACCTGAGGTACCGCCAGCTGACTGTGTCCTTCAGATTTATCAGCAACTGGAAGACAGTGTTAAACAACTGGAGTAAGATGCCAAACTCACTGACTTGTATTATCAAACACATCTTCTGATATGAAATGAAGTAACCTTTTTCGTAATCCAAAGGACTGTGAAGAGACTGGTGCTGGGTCAGTTTGGCTGTCTGTTGGGAGGAATCTTCTGATTTTGATATAATACAGAACTTTGCCGTTCATTATTTGAATTCTGTAAGCGAGGTGATGTATCAGACCCTTTGAGACTCAGCTTATAGTTGTACTGTTTATGTAGTTACCTGGGAGTGAAAGGGTGTGAACAAAACCACAAAATTACACTTCAACTATTCAATAAGAAAATATTCAAACGGCAACTGTAATGGCAAATTGCACAATATTTTGTATTTTAAACTTTTATCTTAATCAAACTTTCTGCCTAATCCGTGTTGTCTGCCCAATGGAAATCAAAGGGCTCTTAGTTTGTCAACGTGTCCTTGATTGCTCTAAAACATGGAAAGTTAAACTTGTGAGTCACTCTGAGGTGACACAGCTCAGCCTGTCAGCGATGACTGAACTGCTGAGGAAGCGTTCAATGCACTTAACAAAAAAGACATCGTTCACCTCCTGTGACAGCGCCCAGCTTCACCCAGCCCAAGTAAATAAGATCACATTCCTCCCTCACTGTGTGTGCACACCCTTGTTGTATGAACCAGCTTCAAGCGGGTGCACACCTCAGCAGGCTGCAGAGTGCCAGTGATTCAGGAGCTCTCCGTCTACAGCGACTCACAGCCAGAGACGCAGCTGTCTCGGCCTGTCCTCTCGCTGTCCTACTTCCTCAATAAACAATCCACTTATCAGCTGTGAATGTTTGGAGGGTGTGAAAAGGAGACCTTGAGAAATTCTCACCCTAATAGACTGGACACACAAGCAGGATTGGATTAGAAAGTTTGAATTAATCAGAAAGAGAGAGAGAGGATTAGATGCACTTGTAAGATAAGAACATGTTTACATTAAACTTCACTGTTAGAATAACCATACATGCTGCTTTAGAAACTTTTCTCCAAACACTAGTACATGTACTTTTGGAGGATGAAGCTTTTTTCAATGTTGATTTGAAAAATAATCGAAACCGTAGAAGAAGTGATGGCACAGGGCTACTTAAAATGTCTTCATTTAATCAGGACATTAACTGTGCAAAAAAACAATCAGGAATAATGCTGACCAATGTTGACCACACAGGGTCTTGTTCAGGGTGAGGAAGTGTCAAAACTCGATGAAAGATGAGGTCCACATGAATCATCAACTGGGCTGCAGGCTCAAGTATGCCAGCATATATATTTACATCAACCATAAGAACATAGTAACATAAAATAGTAGATATAGCACCTGGAGTTTTACTGGAGTTTACCACCTCTAAGAAAATAAGAGCACCTCGTTTCCTTCCTTTTCCTAAATAATCCAAACTAATTAAGTATAAAAAGGTCTGTAAAAATGTATTTAAGTTTGATTTAACACATTTTACTCCTGAGAACTGTGCATCTCTGTACAAAATCACATCTGTTCACTGGGAGTGGGAAGTCAGTCTATAATCATGGAAAAGGTTTTGTGGTTGAAATGTGCAGCAAAAAGATTAAAGGGAATAATATAGCAGAGAAAAACAACGTCTCATTCGCCCTTAGTATCCATAGAATATGTTTTAATGGACTGGATGTCAACAGGGTGAAACTTGCACAGCCGACAGTTGCATAAAGCCAGAGCACATCCTGAGGAGTTTTTCAGTAACAAAGATGTTTGCACAATCGTACATGGATGGCGTAGAGCTCGATTGTACCTCTCATAATCTGTCTTACTTTTACTCAAAATGTTTTGCACTGGTTGTACGGTGGTACGAGTGATTTCTTGCACATTAAATCAATGCAGCCGTCTTTCTTTTCTTGATGAAGCTGCTTTGTTCTTCCATGATTTTTTCATTGTTGTGATAACTTTCCCAAGTGTCAGGGCTGTGTGAGTTAATTTTCATCATTCAAAATAATGAAACCACAGGCTGCCTGGATGGAAGAACATCTGAACAGTTTATGGCATGCGTTGGATTTTGATTAGTTGTAATAAAAAGTGCTGTATAAGTGATTAACGGGTCATAACATGCAAAGCCACATGTATTGTTGTTTTACATTAAACCGAAGTGGTGACCCAGAGCTGTAAAGAGCTCAATTAATGACCATGTAGGGACACAGGAAGGTTATGTCTGCTGTTTGAAAGGAGTTTTTATTGTTCTTATCAAACCTTGATCCTCGTTCCAATATAATTTAGAGGTTAAAAAAAATAAAGAATATTTAAAAAAATACAAAATTAGCAATCAATCAGCAAACAATCACCATTGAACCTGGCTAGAATTAAGCGATTAGACGAAGGGGGGTTGTGTTTCCGATCCGCCTCCGACCTGTCCTCACAAAATAATAGTTGCACTGCTTTACACATGATGAGGGCTTTAAACATGAACTGGTTAACGTGGTTAATTAAGGGCTGAAATGAATGCATAATTTCTTTATTTTCAAACCCTGAACGTTTTACGGTGCTGTTAGGAACCGAAAAGTCTAAGAAACCTAATCCTGGGACCTCACATGTTTAGATACCTAACCCTACTCTTCTATCTTTACAGTTCAATTCTCCTTTGATATTGTTGTTGACTCTTTTTTATTTGTCTTCATCCACTTTTTAATTCTATATCACATTTGTGAATATTCTTTATTCCTTATTTTTGTCTGTGTTCACATATTTGGTCCATATTTCATTTCACAGTTTGTTGGTGTGTTGTTGCTTACTTGCTGTTACAAAGGTTTCTTTTCTTCTTCCTCACAGGCCTGTTGGAATGCCAAAAATGGAGAAAGTTTATTTACACAATCCTAGCTCAGAAGAAATTAGTTTGATATCAATATCAGCAACAACAGCACATTTTCACGCGTCCTTTTTCCAGAATAGGGTAAGTGTAAATCCCTTTAAAATCACTGTTCTGTTGTTGTTCTGATGTTGTTCCTATTAAATATAATGGTTGTCTCATAACACATTTAGGAATGCAGATGATCCTGTTATTTTACAAGCTGCTCTATTGGCTGTGTTTTGATCGGACTACTTTATTTGAGCATTATGTGTTTCCTCAAGCTTTGACAAATCAGTGTGACAACTTAATTGCATAATCTGTAAACAGCAGAGAAGCAGTGGTGTTTCCTCCTCCTGTCCCTCGGGTGGAGTTTGTTTTCTGATCTTAAGACTCTTGGACCTTCTTCAATTGTCGACAGGAAACTATGAAACAGCAGAATGTAGACACAACGGTTCAATGCAATGTTCTGATGCAGGTCACATCGCGTCTTTTTGACATCTGATCAGCGCAGAGATCTCTGGGAACTGTAGTCTCCAACAGTTCTTTAGAAAAGGGGCCTGAAACGAACCTCCTATCAATCTGTGATTACGCTCAGCACCGGCTAGCTTTCAATGAAGTTGGAAACAATCATTAAGAGCTGAAGCCATTGATGCATTAAAGGTCACATTTTATGCGAAATACACTTCACAATGTTTTTCTAACACTAATATGTGTCTCATATCTTGTCTGTGTACAAACCCCCAATTATTTGAAAAGTCCATCCTCTCTGTGAGATGTTCCCTTTGTGACATCACAAAGGGCAGTAACCCCAGCGCATAAAAAGTGGATTTTGGGTGCTGCGCCTTTTCTACTGGTGGCCGCCTACTGCTGCAAATGCTCTCTCCTCATTGGGAAAAATTTAAAAAAAAAAAGAAACTTGCAGTCATAAAGAACCACAGGTGAACACGGCCTCAGCTTGCAGATCCTGTTGCAGGCTGTAGTGTTTTCAAAGACACCATCTTAGATTATGAAGAAGATCTTTGACCCACATTTGAATGAAAGATGTCACTATCGTGCTTTAACCCGACAACTATTATCAAAATGGCTTTGGGCTAAAGGTGCTTCAGACTAAATTAAAGCAGCAGATTTTTGCTTTGTTGTTCTTGAGGTAAGTAACATTATTATGGACACACACCTCTGTGTAATATAATGAATGTGTTCTTGATCAGATTTGGATTATTTGGTTTGTTACTCAACATTCAGCACGGGACAGAAAAAAAAACCTGGACTCTGTGTTGTTGTGTAAATAACCTAAGTCTTCAATGTGCACGCTGTGTTTCAACACTTTCTAACAATAGAAGCCACAGACACATAGGGAAGCCATGACACATTAATAACATTCAAATTAACTGTTTTAGTCTCATGACTCTTCTTGAGAAAGTCCCTTTTTTTCCCAGCTCTGACTGTCTTTATCGCTCTGTTCAAATATCAATCTGCTCTGATTGTTTTTACTTCTGTTTTGATACGAGGTGATCAGAAGCAGCAGCTGCCCCTCCCGTCTTGACTAAATAGAATAAAAGTTTGGCTTTTACAGATTTGCTTTGAGCAGTAATGTAAAAGCGTATCAATTAAAGTTAGCATGTAGCTCTTTGTAGTACAGATGCAAACTGTTTGATATCAAACTAGGAAATTAAAGATTGTGTTATTCAGTAGATTTAAAGCTACAGAGATATTTTTTATTGGTGTTATGAATCTTTTTTTTCGCTGCAGTTATACGATAATAATGGAAGCAATACTTTTTTCCAATTCTTTATTTACATAAAAGTGTGACGGGTCTGCAGCGAGTAGTTGCAGCTTTTTTTGAAACCCTTTCCATTCTAAATATCCCCGTTTAAATGTTTTCATCCTGTATACTCAAGAACTTTCTACATTTTAAAAAGAGGGATGTGTACTTGGATGTTCAGAGAGTTGAATTAGTTTTTTTTAATTTAGAGGCAGAGGATTAATGAGCCAAACTAAATGATTAAAGGTACAGAAAGCTAAATGTAAGTGCATGACATACTGTATGTCAAGAACCAAATTCAAACTCAAATTATTTTCCTACACATACAACATGCAAAGAAAGAGGAAGTAGCGTGTTTGAAGTGTTCATGAAAACAGGATATGTAAAGAAGGTTCCAGAGTGACGAATCACACTCACCAATGAATAACGCACACGTTAGAGGCTGTATTTCCTGTACCACCCTGCCTGTCTCTCAAACAGTGACGTGGATGTTTCACATCTTTTCTTTCTCTGCTCTTTTGGTCCTTTCACTATCTGCATGTTTGTCTCTCTCTTAACGTTCGGCACCAGAAAAGATGACAGAATGATCTGTTCTGTTCTCTTTCTGTTTTGTCGCATGAGAAGATACTGTACATGAAGTTTAAGTACATGATATCCAACAGCTTTTCTGTTCATGTCCATGTTATTATAAACTCAGGAAGTCAACAGTTTTATACTTTTCAATACCATGTGTTTTAAAATGTTACAGTCTGAGTTGTTACTAGGCCCCGACCGATATGATTCTTTTTTGGGGCCTACATCGATATTGGGGAGAAACACACTCTGATGTAGATAAATCAGCCAATATCTCTCTGAGATCTGTTAGATATGTAGACCTAGATAGATTCAGATATACACATTTATTGAGTTGATCCCTTAAAAGCAGTTATCAAAAACGTGGAAAAGATATAAAGTAGAACACAGACAAGATGATCACTCAACTGGAAAGTAACTGCTCATGTACGTGCATCTCCACTTGACACTCTGGGTGGAGACGATGCTTGTTGTAATCCATATAACACACTCTGCTGGTGACAGCCAGTGAGTGAACTGTTAGTGTAATTCAAAGATACTCAAGTAAAATGCTATTTGACTGGTAAATAAATCTAAAATACCGACGCATATCTGTGATTAAATTAGCCAATACCGATCATCACTGACTATGCTAATATCGGCCGATATTATCGCCTGGCCGATGTATCGGTCGGGCTCTACTTGTTTCAATGAGCAAGGGTAATCTACCAAAGCTTTAAGAAAACTACAGATCTTCATATTTAATCAAAGGCTGTTGTGAAAGAGAGAGAGCAGCGGTGTTTTTTTCACATTCATAGGTCGGCAAATACAGATGTTTCTCAAACCTTTTTTGAGTCTCTGAGAGATGCAAAAGTTGGAGTCTGTTACAACCAGAAAGAGAGCAGAGGAGGTCATACTCACTACATTGTACAATTTACATTGGCAACCGTTCGGTTCCAAAACGTTGCCAATGTATTCTGTGCAATATAGATAGTAGTGTTCAGTGTGCAAGAGTTTATCAGCGATTTGTTAAATAAAAATAAAAAGACATTACCCAGCAATGAGTGCCTATGACTACTACTTTTGTTGATGTGGTATCGTTACTGTTGATTTTTATTAGTGTTGTCTCAAACTTTAAGATTCTGGTATCGTGACAACCTAACTGTAGATGGACCGGAAAGAACTCGGCTCGGTGATTCAAAAACCACAGAGCAGTCGTCACCGAAATGCAAAAGTTAGAGGGTAGCTGTAATGTTTTCATAGCGCTGAACCTTTGAGGTCAGGTGTTGTGGAAGTGAGTGTGGGGATCACTCGGGTTATTAGCCCAGCTGTTCCGGGGTCAGTGTGAAGAACTCTGAGAAGCTGTATTGTGCCGTGTGTGTTGTACTGCAGTAGAGATTAACGTCACTTCTTCTTTCCATTTGAACAGATAATTCCACCTGGAGGAAACACATCGTTCGACGTGGTGTTTCTCGCTCGAGTAGTTGGGAATGTAGAAAACACTTTATTTATTAATACATCACATCATGGAGTGTTTACATACCAGGTAATGATTCAAACTCGACCTCATATATAAGTGATCAGTCCAAGGAGACATGTGACTGACTTTGCCTTTTACCTGTCTGTCCTGAAGGTTTTTGGGGTCGGTATCCCAAACCCCTACAGACTGCGACCCTTCATCGGGGCTCGAGTCCCAGTAAACAGCAGCTTCTCACCTCTTATACACATCCACAACCCTTACAGTGAACCACTGCAGGTAACTCGGGGTGACCTGAATTTCTAAATGTTTAATTTGATCATGTTTTGTTTAGTTTTTGTGGAAGAGCTGAGTCATGTCGGTAGATTGATTGGAAATGTATGTACAGCTTAACATTTCCCTGCATGTATGGCTCCACTCCACTTGCCTAAATTGAACTTTACATTGGTGCTATTATAATTATGATTATGATTTAGTTTTTCCATTAATTGAAGTTGGATAGTACCCGACACATTTTTGATATCACCAAAGCCGAGATTCCATGTGAACCTAGGAGAGGCTAAGGCTACGTAGAAAAACCCTGTTTAGATTTTTAGAAGGGGCTTAAGGGAGAGGAAAAAGTCATGATTATTAAGTCTTTATGCAGAGGTCTGCATCATCGTGTTAAAAAGTCTCTGATTCTGTTAAAACAGACAAACTACCTCTGAGTTTTTGGTGCCAGCAGTGTTTTCCAAAATCTCGGTGTTAAAGCTCTGACACCGGAGTGTCACAGACGTTTGGTGTGAAACTAAACCTAAGGTGTTTGGGTGTAGCCTAAAATGTGACAAAAACCCGTTCACACATGCACTTCTGAAAAATTCCCAAATTTTTTGGTGGGGGTCGACTGCATGAGTGAAGACAAACAGCCTCAGTTTTTCACCCTGACTTTGTGTGGACTCTTTTCTGCCAGCCTCCTAGTGAAACTTCTGCAAGGTGTATGATCACAGCAGATAATATTCAGAAAATTCACTGCCAACGCGCAGGTGAGAGATGAAATTTGTATCATGCGAACGATAAGAAAACAGGGCGATCTTCATGCACTTACTGAAGCTGCTCTTTTATGCTTGACAGAATGATCGTATCCACTTTTTTGTTTATACTGAAAATATGTCCAATTACACAAAGCAATTATAATGGTCATCAAAGCTTCAGAATCTGTTGCTTTGTCTGCCATCTTGGATATATGTATGCATGTCTTGCCTCCTGCTTTTCCTGGTCTCACTCTGTCACTATGTCCTCCTCCAGGTGGTGGAGATGTACTCCAGCGGTGGGGATCTACATCTAGAGCTTCCCACGGGTCAACAAGGAGGCACCGGGAAATTATGGGTGAGTTTCACCTTGTAGTGTTTTTTGTTTTTCTTTTTTCGTGTTTAAATCAAGTCTTATTCATAGTTGGAGATAAAGCCAGTCTGACTCGAGTCACTGTTACCCATGCTGACCTTTGCCCTTCAGGAGATTCCTCCGTTTGAGACGAAGGGGGTAATGAGAGCCAGCTTCTCGTCGAGAGATGTCGACAATCACACGGCTTTCATCAGAATCAAAACCAATGCTCCAAACGAGGACCAGTTCATCATCCTCCCTGTGGAGGTGGAAGTCACTTCAGGTGTGCTACCAAACCTTAATGAAGTGTTTTTACCTTCTTCGCATTTATTTGAATACTCTTTCCATCAAGTCTGTCAGGTTAACATTGTTTTGTTTTTACTTTTTTCTCTGCAGCCCCTGGTATTTACTCCTCCACAGAGATGCTTGACTTTGGTACACTGCGGTCACAAGGTAACGAGTCTGACAAAAGAAGCTCCATTGTGTCTTTCTTTCTTTCTCTGGGTCTTTTCTTACTCTATATCTTTGTTCTCTTTGTGCTGCAGATCGTCCAAAACTGCTGAACCTACACCTTTTAAATTCAGGAACAAAAGATGTGCCAATAACAGTAGGTATCCTTTGAAGTTTAAAACAAATCTGTACACAGATATGTCGACCCTTATTTAACTTTATCATGTATCTATGCTTTACAGAGTGTACGTACAACACCATCAAATGAAGCCGTCACAATCGACTTCAAAGCAGTCACACTGAAAGCAGGAGAGAGCAGATATACCAAAGTTGCAAGTATTAGTTTTGATGGTAAGTGTTCATAAGTATTTGTGACAAAAACACAACATAGACTATGTCCTAAGGGCAAGCATACATTCCACTGTTGCATTAAAATGGACTCTCCATCCACATGAAATACATTTGATATAAATGTTAAATATATCTTTGCAAGCTGGACGTTCTGCCAGAGTTTACATGTGATTGTTGAAGAAAGTACACTCCTGCCAGAACCTTCCTTTTCCTTTTTGCTACTTTTTTTTTAGATTTAAAACTCTTAAGACTCAACTGAAATAAATCTGAAAGACAGGAAATGATAGAGCATGGGTGTCAAAGAAGTGACCATGGGTGTCAGGCGGGACCGTCAATAGAACACTGTGCGATCAGAAAGTTTGCATGACGCTTGCTCGGGTTGCATTCAGGCAGGCAAAGGGTGTCAGTTGTCGGGTACAGGAAGTTGAATAAGATGCAGTCTGACACAGCAGATTTGCAAAGATGTCACGGTTTGAACCAGACACAAGTTAGTCCAAAATATCTTTAAGAAATGAAAATACAGTCATCCATATTTAGTGTAAAGTCTTGCATTCTGAGGCACCGTTTCCTCTGAACCCGGGCTCTTAACTGGTTAGCTAGAAATGCATTCATAGATTATTTAATACATTTTAGGTTTGTAAATGCAGGCCAGATGTGAATGGGGGGAAAAAAAACGGAAATCAGAATTGGCCAAAGATAGAGCAATGTGGTTCTCTGGTTTGACTTTAAACTGCACAGTTTGCATCATATCTGCTTCCCCCGCTTTTTCAACACCGACAGAGTAACACAAGAGGTACAGTTTGTTTGCCATCAACTGGTCTTAGCTACTTCCTCATTCTTTCCTTTTAAGTTGTTTTCATCTTTAAATATAGTTTGGTGGAAATTAAATCTACAGGAATCAGGTAACTATCGACCGTTTCTCATGAAGTCTCTTGATTCTTCTCGTCAGTTTTCATCATGTCTTTGCTCAGCTGCTGTTCAACACTTTTTTTTTTTTGGTCATGTTTTGCACAACTTCCTCTTGTGAGGCCACTTATCCTCTCACAGGGCACTTATCTGCTGGTTTCATCTTGTTTTGTTTTTTTCATTGCAGCCTCAAAAGCAAGAAGACCGTATCAGTTCTCTGGAAAAATAACAGTTAAGGCGAAAGAAAAGACTTACTCCAAGCTTGAAATACCGTACCAGGCGGAGGTTTTAGAGGGGTGAGTTACTCTATGGATAAACATTGAAGCGTGGGCGATGTATTTTACATAAGAGAATAATGCTTCTATAAGTGTTTCCTCTTTAATCCACTCTTGCAGCTACCTGGGCTTTGACCACACAGCCACGCTGTTCCACATCAGGGACAGCCCAGTCGACCCCGTGGACAGACCCATCTTCCTCACAAACGCCTTCAGCTTCGCTATCTGCATACACAATGTGTCGCTGCCAGAAGAAGCCAAAACCATGTTTAATGTGAGCGTCTGCAGAGCGGTCCATGAAAGCGCACGACGGCTGTTTTAAATGTCGCTCAACATAACAGAGCTGTTTCTCTCTCTCTGTTTCAGGTGCAGAACTTCAGCGCACCGATCGTTATCCCCCCACACGAGTCACGCTACATCTTCTCCCTCCTCTTCCGGCCAGTCCGACCCTCCATTCACATAGACAGCAACATCCTGCTCATCACCAACGCTTCAAAGTTTCACCTGCCTGTCAGGGCCTACACAGGCTTCCTGGAGGTACACAATCGATGCACACGTTGATATTTTTGGAAGAAATATATTCTTTATAAATAGGCCTTTTATTTACTTTAAAGGTGGTACTGCACAAAGAGCAAATGAATCGATACACTGACAGCCTGCAGTCTTAATGCAGTCTACACACACAGAGAGCATTGACTGCTGAAACTGAGTGAAGGTTTCATGCAAACTGCAGGGCCCGTTAAATAGGCTTTAGTCCCTTCATTTTAAGATTTTCCTAATTGAGTAGTAGTTGCTAATTTAAGACATAGTTTTCAAAGTCCTGACACGTTTTTTTATTTATTTATTTTTTTAAGATTTTTCTTTTTTGGGCTTTTTGTGCCTTTAATGGATAGATAGGACCGTGGATAGAGTTGGAAATCAGGGAGAGAGAGTGAGGAATGACATGACAAGCCACAGGTGGGATGTGACACCGAGCCGCCCACTTGAGACGACAGCCTCCATACATGGGGTGCGCGCACTAACCACTGCGCCACCTGTAACTTTACAACTCCAGGAAAGGAGACCAATTATACCTCTTCAAGTTTCAGTATTATATTTATTGTGACACAACCGAGAAACAAAACAGAACAGCACAACAAAAACATCTCACATGAGTCTTCTGTTCGTTTGCACACTTTTCTTTCTTTCACACTGAAGATAATCGTTTCTATAACAGAGACACACAAAACTACATTTCATACATTGGTTACACACAGGGCTGGGCGATACGGACCAACAATCATACTGCCCTACTTCAGCTGTATGGAGATACAAAGGATATATGTAGATATTTTTTTATTTGAAGAAATAACAAAACAAGAGACAAATGTTGTTGTTTCATCAAAGCTAAACAGATCTTGTCAGCGGCAGATCAAAAACATCCGTGTTCTGCAAGATCAAATGACACGGAGAGAGAACGATGGTTGTTTCTTATTTGCTTATTTAAAGTAAATCATTGTAGCTTCTTTTGAAAAGGTCTCATCACTGTTGGGACCCCTTCAGTTATGAAGAAGACTCTTGGAATAACAATCTGAAATGCCAGTGGAAACAAAGAAACAAACATTTTTAGTGGATAAACTTTGATTGTTTAGTTCCTTCATAATGATAGTGTAGCAGGCATTTCATCTCTATGCAAAAAAGGCCTCTGATATAAAATACAGGAAATCCCCCTTAACTAAATTTTTCAAAATATGGCATTTTTTCTTTTTTTTAGGTCAGAGTAAATTTTAAACTGTGTGATGAGTAAATGTGTGTAATTTAGTTTTTTTTTTTTTTGTCTTTCTGTGTAAATAGCCTCTCGTCCTGCCGCCCAGTCTGAAAGAAAACCTGCTGGACTTTGGTGTTCGCAGTGCAACAGACACCAGCAGCATCATATTTGTGGTGGTCAACAGTAATCCCATAGAGGTGAGAGCACACAGTACACTGCTGCATGTTGACACTGTGATGGAAAGTAAGATTTGTCTGGGCACTTTCTGTATGATTGTATTTCCTGTTAACTTCTGAGTAGACCCTTCAGTGTAAAACCTTTTTATATGATCATTTTTAAACATGTTCATTTACGCGTATGAATGTTTTTTATACGCAATGAAAGGCTTTGTGCTTACTTATACTGTTCTTTTCCACGGTAGTAATTGATGCAGATATTGTAAACATATTGTAAAACACCACCAGTCATCAAGTATTAAACTTAGTCTCCTTCTCAAACTGCCTTCTGTTTCTGTCCTTTAGCTGGAGATCAAGTCCTGGCTGGTAACAGGGGACAGTCTCTCCATGGAGCTGCTGAAGACGGAGAGAGGAAACACAACAGTGGCTCTGAATCGCATGAGAGAGCTGCAGAACACGTCAGCCTCCCAGCACAAAACAGTAAGACTTTAAAACTGATTGCTTCAATTTAATGATCATGAGAGTACATGTACAGCGTTACCTGTCGTAGTCAATCTATGTGAAGTCATTTCACTAATGTGCCCATGTGATGTGCTCATTTTTTGAAAAGAAAAGGTTTTATTGGTAAAGTGATTCTCTAACTTGGTCCTCAAAATTTCAATTACAAAAGCCAATCATTGCTGAGAATTTACACAGGAGAACCAATAAGGTTCTTCTCTTAATCCTACCGGTTTTACTGGTCTAAATGATGGGTGAAAAAGAAATGTGCTTCAAAACAGGAAAAAAATATACTCTTTTTTCAAAGTCATTAGTGAAGTTAACGCTCCTGTAAGGAATTCTTTGCTGAATTTTGCTGGTATTTTTTTTTAACCTTTTTATTTGATAGAACATTTGAACAGAGACAGGAAAGGTTGGGAGGAAAGAGCAAGAGTGACATGCAGTAAAGGGCTGAATCAGACTCGAACCCACGGCCGCTGTGATGAGAACTGTAGATGGGTTATTAGATGGGGCATGTAGCATAACCAGTAGGCCGTGTGGTGCACCTACTGACCTTCTTACATTTACTCAGCAAAGACAAAAACCTCAAATGTTCAAGCTTCAAAAACATGAAGCTTTATGTTGACCAGCTTTTGTTATGTTGATCAACTGTATTCTAACAACATAAATACAGTACTAACACATGTTTTCGTCTCTACAAAGGTGATATTAGCATCTGGCTATTACGCTGTATTCAGAGTGACACTTGTGGCCAAGGCGCTGGAGGGAACGTATGATGGAGCCATACACATAACCACAGATTACGAGGTAGGTAACCCGCTCAAGTTTCAGCACAGCTAGCTCCCAGTCTCATGCTGCCATGATTGTTCTTTTTTCTTCTTTTCCCTCAGATATTAACCATCCCAGTGAAAGCTCTCATCGCAGTGGGCACGCTGAACAGCTCTCCAAAACATATAGTTCTTCCATCTTCATTTCCAGTGAGTAAGAGGCAGACGTATATGTGTTAAGATGTCACACCTGTTCTGAGGCTAAGAGTGTGACACATGCAGAGGAGCATACTTTTCTGTAGATAGCCTGAGGTGTTACAGCTCCTGACACGTCTGTGTATGTGTGTTTTCTTTTTCTTTAGGGGAAAGTTGTTCATCAAAGCTTCAGCATACAGAGCTCTTTTACACAGAAAGTGAGGCTCCAGCAGATCCGCTCACTTACAGAAGATATCCGTTTTTATTACAAACGGCTCCGAAACAACAAAGACGAGCTGGAACCCAGACGTAAATCTAAGGTAGCCTCTCATCTCACCGTGCAGATTTCAATGACCTACACACCTCCTTACAAACATGAAACTTATTTTTTTTTCTTTCATTTTTTTTCAGGTGGCAAATATTTATTTTGACGCCAGTTTGCAGTGTGGTGATCACTGTTATGTCGGGCTGCCGTTTGTGCTTAAATGTAAGTTTTATTTTGAAGTAGGGCTGTCAGTGTTAGCGACGTGATTAAGGTCCGAAAGTAGCGCGTTAATTTTTTTGGAAACGCATTTATAGTTTGCCATTTTTTACCTTTAGGTGCAACGTAGGTACGCCACCAAAAATAATATCCACCTTATGACACCAAACATTTTAATGTTTTTACTCTCATCTTTGGCAATTTTCATTAACTTTGAATTAGTTCCATTTTCTGTGGTATAAGTCTATATCGTTAACCTTTGATATACTGGAAGTTCTAATGTAACTTTCAAAATAAAAGCAGGTTCATAAGCAAACAGGAAGTAAAGTACCCTTAGCTGAGGACAGTTCAAAAATCCAAGTCCAAAATATTGTAACTTCAAATGTGATTAAAAAACGGGATTTATCTTGATTAACTATCGAAATTCAGCGATTAATTGCGATTTAATTTATTTTATTTTATTATTATTATCTATTTTTAAGTATCTGTAACATGAAAATCTCACATCCAAGAGTAACAAACAATCGTTTTGTTGTTTTCACAGCGGAGTCGAAGCCTCACGGGCTTGTGTTACAGGAGGATATCTGGGACGCTGATGTCGACCTTCACCAGAAACTACTCAGACGATGGAGAGATCTGAAAGAGCGATCAGGACACAAGTAATATTCTTAAAGTGGATTGTTACTCTGCTGAGGCTCATGGCTGTTTTTTCTCCTTCCTTTTCATCTCTTTGCAACATTCAGTGATGTGACAGCAGAAAGGAGAAACAGGCTCTTGTTGAGCAGTCATCCGATAAGTTTGTCGGGTATAAAACCCTTGACAGAAGCTCTGCAGCAACCAATAGAAGTTTTAAAACTTTTTCATAAAGTTCAAAAATTTTCATAAAGTCAAAGCAGTTAAACGCACAACAACTTCCAGCACACTAGTAGAGCCAAAAAGTTGAGAGCTTCGAGCTGACAGGAATAATGAAGTCCTTCACTTCGTGTTTCTAAAAAATGAGAACTATGTCAACCTTTTTCCTCCCACAATTTTTCTCAATTGACACCAAACCTGCTGCACTACATCGTCACAGAAAAATATATCTTTGCAAGACATTAAAAGAATTGTAGACTTATCATTTTGCCTTGATGCTAGACACAAACGCCCTTAACTAGTCGTTATAGCTGAATATTTGACACTAGTTTTATATTTGATTGTGTCTTCAAAGGTTGTGAGTTAAAGACCAAGGTGATCCAAGACTTTTTTACGCCTCAGTCATTGTGCTGCTGGAAATAAAAACACACCATTTATATGTTTGATCATCATTTAATCAAATGATTTGATTGTTTTTCATGTTTCTCTGCCCCTCTTTACCCCCCTCTTTACCCTCCTCTTTTCCCCCTCCAGTAAAGAACATGTCCGTGACTTGGGGCATGTCACTGCTGCTTTTACTGTTAAATTAAATTTAACTGCTATTGACAGAAAATAACAAGCTGTTTTGTTTTTTCTCACCAAAGGGTTGAAGCCGTCTTTGAAGTCAACACAGACCTTCAAAAAAACGTACAGGCTAAAATAACGGCGCACTTGTCCTGGCCCTCTCTGGTGAACTCCTCGCAGCGCATTACATTCCCCCTGACCAACACAAACAGCTCCTCTGTGAGTACAAACAATCCTCCTCCTTGTTGCTCCATGTGCAATAACACACACAAGAATTTTTAAAGATGCTCTTAAAGTTGGGTGTTTGAAAACCCTCCTGTATCTCTTCTGCAGGATGAGGAGGTGATTCTGCAAAACCCTGCAGACGTCCTCGTCTATGTCCAAGTTCTCCCGCTGGCTCTTTTACCAAACCCTTCAGTGTTTTCTGGAAAGTTAGCGGACAGGTGAGAAATCTACACAGCTGCAGCATATTCTGAGTCTTTATCTCCTTATCTCAATCTGACTGGAATTTAAATCTATTTTCCAGGTTTCCTTTAGGAAATTTATCCAACATCAACATCGATACCAACACCTTGGAATTTCAGGTTCACAGAAATCAAGTGAGCGCTTCAAGTTCACTATTATCCTAGAATGAGAGAATCAGCAGTTCAGCGTGTAACTGCATATTTAATCACAGGGCAGCATGTGGAAGCTGTTTGTCTGTAACAGGCTCTCTGTTTGTGTGGCAGACGTCTGTAATGAAGAGCAGCACGGGCTTCGTAGAGGGATCAATCCGACCCTTTGTGTACAACCTCCTCCTGCTGCCCGGAGAGGTCAAAACGTTCAGCGTGAGGTTCACTCCCATCAGCAACCACAGTGTCTCCTCCCTCCTTATAGTCAGGTAATATGGGTTATTAAACATCCAACACTTCCTTCAATGAGTATGTGTCTCTGTTCTAACTCCGTGTGCCTTATCTGGAATCTGTTTAGGAACAATCTGACTGTGATTGACACAATCTTACTTCACGGCCGAGGTACGACGGAGAGCCTGAAAGTTGCAGGGAAGCCTCCGGGACAAGGCAGCTCGTTGAGGTTCAAGATGACCGAGGCTCTGCTGAAAGACTGCACAGACAGTGAGTATGCATCACTGCCGTTCAGATCAGTGTGAACGTTTTCGCCACCTGCATTCACCACTTCAGGTGTATGAAAACGGTCTCTGAGATGAAAGCGTCAGCCTGGTTTCAAAACTCATCTTTGTCCACATTAACATCACTGAAAATATCATATATTGCAGGAAAGTTAATCTACAACCTTGGGTGTACATGAACTGCTGTTAATCAAGTTGCAACCTCCTGTGTTGAAAATGAAACCAATTTGGAAGTGCAAAAACCTGCAGTTCTTAGTGTCCACTAGAGGCTTCTCCAAGTGCCTCGGAAGTCACATACACACCCCATTCAAAGATGTTTTTACAGCCTGGTGCAATAAAACAATTTTGGTCTGATAAGTTATTGTCCTCAGTAACATACAAAGTATAGAGGGGGAATTTTTTGTAAAGAATTCATCCGTTTTGATTTAATGAACGATACCTGTTATCTATTGATAGGCATGTAGCTGACCTGATTGACAGGTGGGTAATGGTTTTGTCAAGAGGCTTAAGACCCTCCTTAGGTCCAGATCTCAGCCTTTCGTTAAGTTGACTGAAAGTTAAGCTGAGACAGGTTTTCCATCATGGCGACTGCCTCTTATTAGCCTCCGGAGCCCGCTGCAGTAACAGATGGATGATGTCACATTAATATTTTACAGTCTATGGTGTTAACAGGCACACTCAAAACAGGTTATGTTTTGTTTTTTTTAACCCTAAGGGAAAGAATGCTGATCTCACAGCACTTCTGACTGGTCTTGAACACTTCTGCGTTCTGTTATTCTATGACTTGCATTCCCATGTTTAGAATTTGACTAATTCCTGTGAAAAGCTGCTGCAAGCTCAGACTATTTCAGCACACCAGGAGAATTTGGGCAGTTTTTTTCTGTGTTCGACACAGAGTGGCAACATTTAATATTCTGTTCCCCCAAGAAGTTTGAGTATAAGAAATAAAAGTATACGAGATAAGCCATGAAAAGGGCAATGAGACAGAAAAAGAGTGTGTCATTCATGAATGTGCATTCGTTCTTCATTGATTCTTTTATGTCTTTCAGAGACTAAAGTCAAGGAGCCAAACTTCACCCTGAAGAAGACCTTCAGAGTGGAGAACACAGGCCTGCTCCCGATCACCATCAAATCAGCCGAAATCAACGGACAGGCGTGTGAAGGATACGGATTCAAAGTTCTCAACTGTCAAGAATTTGCACTAAAGCCAAACGCTTCAAAAGACCTCATAATCCTGTAAGTGCACAATCCTGTTTCTCTTCATTTGAGGTTTTTGTTTTCATCTCCTTTTGACAGAATTGTCCTGACTCAAGTAATAATGCAACATACGGAGTCCCTCTGAAATGCAATTTATTGAGCAGCTTGAATAGGACCCCTGACTTGAGAGTTGTTCATCTGTAATGGCCTTCCTCCTAAAATAAGAACCTGCACCTTTTATCTCATCGCGAGCAAACAATAAAGATGAGCTCTGCAAGTTATAAAATGTTCTGTAATATGGCCTGAGATCAACATGAGAAGATAGACACTGCATGGCCCTTCAGAGTGTGTGTGTGTACTCCCCATCAACCACAGGCTCTATTTATACTCTTCAGCCTCTCTGGCTGAGTAAGGCTTCAGTGAGACGATGAATTGGCTCTCTGTCTCTCTGCAGCCTCTTCTGCTCTCATTTTTTTTTATCCATCACCTAAAGTTCAAGTTAACCCCTAAAAAGGAGTCTGTTTTTCTTCTCTTTACTCAAAACTCAAACTAACCGTGTGCATAAAAGGCATAAGTACCCCAATACTAAAAGTTAAAGTGAAATGGAAAAAAAAAAAAAAAAAAGTGTGCTGGCTGTATGTTCATGGTTGTGTTTACTCGACATGGTGCAGCTGGATTAAATATGACTTAACGTACTTCTTTTGGTACCAAGAATGGCTGAACAATATTGTAAAAAAACATTTGGAATCTCCTCTCTGAAATATTGCGTTATGAAAAATACAGCAGTATTAAACCAGATAAATGCAGTATGCTTAATGTGCTTACTAAACCTGCATCATATTAGAAATTGTACGATGTGTGATTACGTAGTTCGATATTTTCGCTAATGCAATTAAATGAAGTGCAGTAAATCAACAAATATTAAAGAGTATCTATAACTCAGCTTTTATTGCTGTTTTTTAATGTGCTGTTCTTCATTTTTTTACGTTTCCCGGTTACGAGGGGACTAGAGGAACAACAAATAAAGAAAACAGGAATAAGTTAACAAATAACACATTTCTTTAAAAAAAACTAAGAATAAGTTGAAGCCAATTTTGTTCAGAAGTTTAAACACTAACACAAAATTACAGTTAACGACAGAAACTAGGGCACCAAGTGAAAAAACATCTCCTTCCTCTAGAGGAGTTAACACAGCCTTGTTCCTGATCCTCCACACATGATCACAGGTGACCCCCTGCCCTTCTGCGATGGGCCTTGACTCTCAACCTGAAACAGCTGAGCTCAATCATCAAGGCCTCACCAGTGGAGAGTAGGGCGAGCAGCACCTGGAGAGCAGGAGAGAGAGGGAGCGAGAGAGGAAAACACAACACACAGCCCACTACATGAAACAGTTTGCAACAAGTCCCTCCAGAACCAAAAAAAGCCACTTCTTTTTAAACTGCTCAACAGGCTTCAATCAATGTGAGGGTAGCTGATAGTTAGCTGGAGCTGCAACAGGCTGCATCAACATGTTGTTACCTGAGCCTCCTTCAAACAGGTACAATGTTCACGTATGGAGTAAGAAATAATTTCTTCTTTTTAATATCCAAATTTCATTTTCATCTATTGCGATAAATTAAGATCGTATTGTGACGATGCCATTGCGATTTATTGTGCAGCCCTAGTACCAAGTACTCTATTTTTTGGGATTTCCACCTACCAGATCGGACCCTTTCATGATTTTCTGGATTATTCAGATGATTATTGTAGAAACTACTAGAGATCATCTAAACAGCGATTTCTTCTCAAACCTCTTCTTCTCATGCTGTTGTCGTACTTCACACTAATATTGTCACGTGTTATAATCTCTGCTGCAATAAAGTTTACTCCCAGCAGAGCTCACCTCTAAGCTGAGCAGAGATCTAATCACCTTAATAAGATAAACACCTGTCGAGGTCTTCAACGTGACACACCCTACCACACTAATTAGTCTTCAGATTTTTGATTAGCTCACCTGTCGTAAACTAGCAAATAATGTCGACATGGCAACTTCTGTTAAGTGCAGATGTGCAAGTTCTGCATCTTTTCTGAAAGTAAAAATCCAAAGTTCACTTTATTGTATGTTAAATATCTTTATATCTTATGAGGAGCATCAACTGGTTCTTGTTTAAAGTCTCGAGGTGTTTGCTTCCCCTGTCCTCCTGTTCCTGTGGTTTGTATTTTGAGAATGAAAGCATCGGGGGGGGCTTTTCTCAAACATTTGTCCTTAATGCATCACCTCAGGGATTTTTTTATTCCACATTAGTTTGTCAGTCTGAATTTGACATTAACCTCACATTCTCTGTTAGATTATTTAACATTGAATATCGTCATGGTCTCACAGATACTTCACAGGTCTTCCATTTAGACATCCCTTATGTCTTCTGGCTTTAATAAAAGTCCTACTTTGTGGAAACTTAAATAGACTAAAGGTTGATTTAAGCTGCAGATAAAAAAGACGATTGTTTCTGTAGTGAGAATATTATTTAAACTTTGACATATCCTTCCTCTGCCCTCCAGGTTTACACCCGACTTCACTTCGTCTCGAGTGATCCGGGAGCTGAAATTGGTGACATGCGGAGGCTCCGAGTTCGTGTTTGTCCTGAACGCCTCGTTGCCCTACCACATGTTAGCCACATGTGCAGAGACCCTGCCCAGACCGAGCTGGGAGCTGGAGCTCTACATCATAGTGTCTCTCATTATGAGGTGAGCAGTTTAAACAATACACTAAAGTATTTTATAAAAGGAAATCTCCACCATACTGACATTTGTTTGTTTGTTGTCTCTTCAGCTCCATGTTTCTGTTGGTCATCGCCACAGCCTACCTGGAGGCTCAGAGTATTTGGGAGCCTTTTAAGAGACGAGTGTCGGTGGAATCGAACTCCACGATGGAGACCGGGAGACCGTTTAATCTCAGGGAAATCGTGCAAATTCACAGTGATTCAAAGTAAGTGTGATCAGGAAAAGGCGGAGTTAAGTCTTGGGTAAAAGTTCATGAAATAAAACTGTGATCAAACTTTAATTTAACTTTATGACATCATCAAGGTACATGAAGAAATTTTAACCTAATGAAGAGTAGATGGATGTTACTCTGCGTCAGTTGAGGCCTTACTATAATAACAATAATGATAACTTTATTTATATAGCACCTTTACAAACACAGGTTTACAAAGTGCTTTGGCTTACAGCGGAAGTATATTCAGCAAAAGAACCAAAACACAGAAGAACATTACAGCAAAAGAACCCATACGACAAAACACCAAACAATCACAACACCGTTATAAGAACAATTATAGGGGCGCAATCACACTGGCAATCGTACCGTGCCTAAGCATGCTTCATCTCTAAAGTCCAGTTTGACCAGTGTGAGCGCTTTGTACCGTAATCAGACACGGTTCACTTCCTTGCCCATGTGTGGTTTGGCACGGTACAGTTCATGCACAAGCACGCAGGTAAACAACGTTGACAGCCTTTATTATGGAGAAATCTGGAGTGGTCTGTTTGTATCTGACTAAATGACTCAAAATAAGCCTCAAAGTCAGTAAAGTAGATGTTCTCTGTTCTGTTCTCCACCTGTCTTGTAAACTGAGCATGCTTCATAATAACATAAAGCTATGCATGTGCTGTATTACAACGTTGTGTACGAGAGTTAACGGTGCTCAGGCCCGGTTTGTCCTGGAGCAGTGTGAGTGCAGGCCAGCGGGGTAATGGGGGGGCAATCGTGCTTCAGCACGGTACGGGACAACTCTGCTAGTGAGAGTGTGCCCTTAGAAGCCACATTACCTACTGCAAAGTGAGTTCAACATACAGAAAGGATCTTTAGGTATCTGGCCCCTGATAAATGAGATCACCATAAAGGTTTGAATGACTCTTAAACTGTGTAAATGATTCTATGGTTCTGATCATTAGCTGTCTTTAAACCGCTGTAACAGACAGCCACTGGCTATGGTGAACTATCTTTGGCCAACCTCTGAGCATACAGTAGATTTAGCTGCGTCTGGTAACCTCTCTGTAACCTCTAATTGGCTGTTATCACTTTGACATTTTGGCCGACTTTGCATGTTGGACCTGATTCAGTCAGTGAGGGTTTTTATTTCTCATTCAGTTGAATCAGTGGTTTCACCCACGCAGTTCACTTTCTCCTTCTTCTGCAAATGACATCAAAAGACCTACGTTTTATTAAACATGTTCATGACATAATGAGACCTACATTTCATTTTCCTCAGACATATAATCAACCTTATTACTTTTTATCCCTTTTCTTCAGGGAATGAAACTGTAACAATTTAGTCCATAAGAGGAGTAGTCAATCAAGGGAATCCATTTCTGCCTTTTCTGATAATTGATTAATTGTTGTCGTTAAGCTTAAAGAATCTGAGTTTTTAGGTTTGAGCTTCTTAAATCCTGTCAGCGTTGTCACTGTTCTTTTTCAGTAAAGATAACAAAAGTGAGGTCCTTTGACTTTTAACAGAGTTAGACATTAGTCCAGCCTTGTTCTCCATTTATGAGTAAATAAATATAAAAAATAAAAAATGTTTATATATATATATATATATATATATATATATATTTTTTTTAAGTGGATTAATATGAAACTGTAGATGCAGGATGTGAAAAAAATAATGAATTAAATTCTCTCTCTTTAGGTTTAACGATTATGCCGACTCAGCCCAGAACTCCAGAGGAGGTTTTGCGTCCAGTAACGGAGCAGCTCGAGGTGGAGGCCGACAGAGCAACGGCCGCACAGTCTCCGAGTCAGATAGCCAGGATAAGAGGTCCAGGATCGGCTTCAGCCGCCCATCTATGCAAGCTTCCTCCACCCAGCTGAGCAAAGGGAGTACAGCCTCAGGACAAGAAGGCCCTGCAGCAGCCTGCCAGCTGACCAACCGCAAAGCTCGGAGCAAGCAACCGGACCTCCAGAGCCCAACTTTAACCCACAGAGGCCTCGTCCCTGAAGACACAGAATACGCCAACCTGGTTGGCGCCATGGACAACGACCTCGACCGTCCAGAGTCCCTCAGCGGAGAGAATCTACCGGAACAGAGCTCTCAGTTCATTCAAAACAAAGGTACGGATATTTGATTCATCCTGGTACAGAAGCAGGACTGTGTAATCACTTACAGGTATTTAAAGGCGTGTTTGTCCTTTACAGTGTTTGAATCTAAAGGGAAGCTGCGGGCCAAATCAAAAGCCCAGAGGAAGAAGGAGGAGAAAGAGAAAAAATCCTCAGTAAAGACTCAGGGAGACGAGCTTAAAGACAACATGGCCGACAATGACGACAGCTCCTCCACCACCACAGAGACCTCCAACCCAGACGTGGAGACAAACATCAAAGAGGTAAATAATATAATATAACAATGATGTAGTTATTTTCTTCTTGTGGTTCTGCCTAAGAAAAAACTAAAGAATAAATGAGATTCTTAAAAGCAAAGTTCTTAAAACTCTTTCTTTACCCAAAGTTATTTTTACAAGTAAATCATAAATATGGTTATCAATAAAAAAAATAAAAAAATCCCCAACTGCTTTCTACAGCAATAATGTTGATCTATAAACATTGAAAAATGCAACATTATTGTACCGTAGTATTTTCTTTTTTGTAAGGAGCAGCATGGGGGGGACAAACACATGTACAGATGTGTTTGTCCCCCCAACATTTTTCAGATAGTGTCATCTCACAGCTTCAGAAATGTTGCTGCTTCATGTAAACTGCTGTTCACTATGTAGAAGTTAGAGTTTCCCTATGAGCATGAAATAAATACTTTTCCAGTCACTCATCAGTTCTCAGAGACCTTAGACCTGACTTCAACTTTCACAGTGACACAATACTGAGCATGCTGCTAATAGGAATGTTCCATCATGGCTTTTTTTTAGGAACCTGTGAAAAAGAAAGGAAGGACCGTAGCAGCGGTCAAAGCAAAAGAAGAACCTTCACATTTCCTCATCAAACCCAAACCCAAGAAACAAGACACCACAAAGAAAGAAAACCCAGCAGAGAAATCCAGGTCTGTTCATTTGATCACTGCTGATGACTTCTATATATATATTTATATTGCTGTCTTGTAACTAATGTTTTCTGTTCTCAGTTCTCTGGAGCTGCCGTATGTAACACCGCTGGAGAACAAACAACGCAAGAGCTTCACATCCAAAGCTCTGTACCCGCCCATCAACATCCCAAAGAGCAGACCCGTGCAGAAGCAGAGACGTGAGTGTCCACAGTGTTAAAGAGGTGTGGGGTAACTTTGTCCTTTGTGTCTACTCCTGATGTGTTTCTGACTGTGAGTGTGTTCTCACAGTAGACGGGAAGCTGGAAGAAGGACGCCCCTCTCTCTTAACCAAACTGTTCACCAGCGGCTCGGTGCCCGAGCTCGGACACAGCAGCAGCTCAGAGGGCGAGAAGGAGTTTGCGTCTCCAGAGTGGGACGTGCCTCTTTCCAAAAACTGTGTCCGTAAGTGGAAATCTAAAACCTAATGTTATGTCAAGTATCTTTAACAATTTAAATAAATACACGTTTACACTTTGAATTAGGGCTGGGAATCTTTGGGTGTCTCACGATTTGATTGAGAATCTATTGTCGATTCAAAACGATTCTGGGTCCATGACTCAAAGTCTATTTATGAATTAGTACTTCAGGATCTACTCCAGTCATCTGTGAGACTGGCTGAAGGTCTTGCTGCTCCATTTGGCATTCTACTGAGTTAAAGAGCTAGCATTAGCACTTAGCATGGAGTGACTGATTGATTGGCCCCCAGAAAAAATATTATTTTTGGAAGTCATGAATCTATTTAAGATCTCAAAAGAATGAATCAAATTTTTGCTTGGTTTTTGCTTAAGTAGAAATAATACATTAATAAATAGGTCACTGTTCAGCCTTCTAAAGATCTGATTGTCTCCTCCTCATGTAGAAGCTGACAGTCTTCAGCAGATTTCCCTGCAGACAATAAACGCAGATCCTTTCCTGAAGAGATCCGTCACAGCCGGGACCTGCTCCCCTCCACCCACCTCCCCCAGCTTACTGTTCAGAGGCTCCTACAGCAGCGTGCTCAACAGTAACAGGTAAACACTCGGCCTGATAATCAGAAACTAATAAAACAAACAAATGTTTTACTCGTTTGGCATAAAAATTAAGAATTAATAATGTCCACTCAAGAGACAACACTCAAAGATGTTAGATCCTGTTAAAAGGCTTGGTTTGTAAATCATCAGACCTCTTATTTTGAAACACTTTTTATTCTCTTCATCGATAAAGACTCCACTGTCTAGGATGAATTTATAAAAACATGAGTTGTTATAGGATTTTAGTAAAACTAGGTTCTAGATGAATAAAGAGATTTGAAAAAAAGCAGAGTATCCCTCTTCTTAATCATGTTCAAATGTTTGTTTACTCAAATTACAATAATGGCAAAATTAATGATTCTGCTTTTAGAGCCCAGTAGGTTCAAAGAGGGGGAACCGTTTAAATCAACTAGTTATTCTTCAAACATAGGTTTCCATGGTGAGCTAAAGAGCAGATCTTAAGACCACCAGGAGTTGGGCAGTGATGATACAGCGACATACCAAATCTGATCTATTCCTCCGATTCAGCCAATAAAAGAAAGTTCAGTCTGTCTTTGAACTTTCTGTTTGATTGATTATTGTGAACAATGCCTCTAAAACTGCAGCTACTTTAAAAAGCTTAAATTTAAATTTAATCCTGGAGTTTGATTCTTTGGAACAAAATGTAAATCATTAAATCTATCTCGCTATGTTGTGATGTTTATTCATCTTGAATCTCTGAATTGACGAGTTGTCATCTCAGACTTACGAGGCGTTTCTTTGCACAAGCACAAGATTTGATCCTGATGGATCAGAGAGGGGTTTCAGTCTGACCTGCAAGGATCTAAGTGGTCTGCACAAAGTCGACAAACTTTTAACACTACCATCAATGTTCCCTAAAGACACGAATATCTCTTCATGTTTCAAACCCAGAGCACAAAGAGAATCTGTTAAACTCAAAAGGTGGGGTGATATTTGCTTCTTTAAGGGGTCTTAATGAGATCTCCTGTTGGGATTTTGAGGTTAATTCATAAAAATGTAACCCTGTAATTCTGAGATAATCATCTGGTTGATTAAGCACATTTTCATTTTCTTATGTGAATGTGATACATGTGTAGAGAGAACACCCTCTAAACCCACTTTCAGTGCACTTTGATTTTCAACAATATCAAAACAACTAACGGATATTCTTGTTGACTTTCCGCAGTGAGGGAAGCCAAAAGAAGGCCCCGGGTAATAAACTCTCTGCAGCCACTCCTCTACCTGGCAAAAATGGGAACCCCACCTTTGCTGCTGTAGCTGCTGGTTATGATAAAAGTCCAGGTAAGGCAGTGAAGTCAAACTCGATCCCAGTGTGTCCATTATTCTAACAGCGGGAGCATTTACAACACTGTGTTTTGTTGTCTGCTCAGGTGGATCTGGTCCAGGTAAAACTGACAGCCAAGGAAAGAGTCTGGCACACATGACGTCAGTGGAGAGTGACAGCTCTGACAGGTGAAGAACAAAACATCCACAATTTACCTAACACAATCCTAACTTCACATATAACTCATCTGGGACTTCAAGATTTGGGGGTTTAAAGGATTGATGGAACAAAATGTGTCTGTATATGTGCTCGGTAGAAGTTTGTCTCCTCTCAGTGCTTTATATTTAAGATCATTTTTTAGCTAGCTTCTGTTAGCTACACTGGTCGTGTTACAACCTCCAGACTTCATTGATAAAAACACCTCACAGAACAAGATGTTTGCTGGTGTTTTGACTCGTTCAGTTTTTGTTCATAGTGTTGTGAGGTGTTTGATCTGAGCTGGTACTCTGACAAAGAAAGCCAAAAATTGATTCAAACAAACTGAACAATCAAAGCAGCAGCCGATCAACAGTCCCATATTCTGAGAGGTCAAATTAAAGCGTTTGTTGATGGAGCCTGGTGGCTTTGAGGAGCACTATTTCCCTGCTGTTTATGGCTAAACATAAAGCATCTTGCATGAACAAAAAGGTCACTTTTTATATGATCCTTTCTGTGATGTAGTTAGATGTTAAACAATTAGAGAAAAAGCGAGCCCTTGTTAAGAAACTACTTTGATCGGCCCCCCTTATCTGCTAATCGCTGGAGGAATCTTTCTGAACAGTTTCTAAACTTTCTGTACCTTTAAAGTCACTCTTATGATTAAAAATAGGCCTCATTTTTAAGGATGCTGGATGTCCCTTTTTGATATTCTGTCTGTATATGTTCCTCTCTTAGCTCTGGGTTATGGAGTCCCATCGACCCAGTCAGCAGTCCGAGCTTCCCCTCTGCCAACTCGTTCTCTGCCTTTGGACCCAACAACTCCTTCAACCTGACAGGAGGTAACGTTTAAGTTCACAAGCAAACCACAAGTATAAAGAGGAACTAGTGAAACATGTTACAGTCGACCAGCTGTAGTCATACTCACGTGTGTGTTTGTAGTTTTCAGTGGAATGAATCTCCCAAAGTCGTCGGAGCCTCAGCAGAGCTGGCCTGAGTTCACCACTGTACCCTCGTCCATCTGGGACATACCGACCAGCGACCCTCTGCACTCCTGGCCCAGCAGCTCCAGCTCGCCCACCGCACCCACTGCAGTAAGAAACTCTTTTTATTTCACAAATCCCAATATCAGCCAGAGTTTCTGTGTATCAGGTTCATTTAAAACGGAGAGTGATTGTGCGGTTCAAATTGAATCCATTACCAACACAGCCAGACTGCAGTGTCTGAAATATTCACGGCCTCATTTTCATCTTTGTAGGTTAAATGAAAATCTTACCTGGTGATTCAATCAAATAGTTTAAATATCAAAGTGTTAAGCCTCTGACAGTTCCTGGAATATAAGTGATGACCCCGCTGCAATCAAGCCGTTGATTCGCTTATTCAGGAGACAATTCACAGCATTTACAGCAATGTATTAATTAAGGGTTCACAAACTGGTAACGAAAGAGAGAAGGAAATGCAAGTTCAAGGAAATTTGGCTTTCAAATGAAACATATTGGGAATTGTTGCAAGCCATGCCAAAAAAAGCTTCAAAGCCTGTAGGATGATAAGAATCAAAGTTTAGTCCCATATGAAGTCTAGAAAGTATGAAGCAACCTTTAACTTCAACATGCTTTTAATCTGTCCGTCTTAAAAGTCAATAAGTTCAAGAGTTCAAACAGAACACCCAGAGGACATCAGACAGAAAAAGATCTTTTCTAACATTTTTAAATCTTTGTAACTTTCTGAACTGACTGTTTGTTCTGGGAACTGTTTTAAAGTCTTGTTTTTTACGGCCATTAGTTAGGCTTCACGCCCACACTTTGTAATTCATGAACACTGACCTGACCCAGTGGAGATGTCAGTACAGCTCCTGCTAAAGCTGAAGTTAGAGGAAGTATGACTTGCAGCTTCTGCTCTATAGTCATGTGTCCTCATTGCATTTTAGCAACATGGTCATTTTTTTAAGAATGGGCGCAAAAATGACGGCATATGTCAAAAAGTATTTGGCAAAGTGTTCCTCTAATAAACATTGTCAGACTCAGAAGAATCTAAAATGTCATCAAGTTGGTACTCGACATTGGGACTACACTGGTTTGGTGCATGGTTGTAGCACACTGATGCTCCTTTAAATGACAACATTGTGAATCTTTTCTCTGTTTTTTTTTTTTTTTTTTAAAGTCACTCCTGGGAAACGCCCGGAACCCTTGGTCTGCAACCACACCCTTCGGGAGCTCCATTTGGTCAACAAGCGCAGATTCGGCCTTACACCCTTTCCCTCCAACGACCAACTCGACGACTCTGACCGATCTGGTCAGCAGTCCCGCCCCGTCTCCCCCGGCGACCACAGAGATGAGTCGGACCTACAACCCGTGGAGCATGTGGCGCCCCACACTGAGCAGGCGCAGCTCCGAGCCCTGGCCAAGCTCCTCCGACAATGCCAATTAAAAATCGGCACACCGCAGCACTTAACAGAACCGCGTCATGAATTTGATGTATTCTGGACGCTCAGTCAAAGAATTTTATGATAAGAAATCCCAACAGAAAGCAACGTTACCTGAAGTGTGAAGGTAGCCCAGTGCTGCAGGTTACCAACCCCACAGTTTAGTTCTCTGCAGCTTTTTTATTTATGGGGGCGGAAAGTTTTATTTGGTTTTGTTTTAACAGGTGCCCCTCTAAGTTAGCAGGTATGCTAATGCCAGTGCAGACATTTTTGCTGTTATAGAAAGGCTGCGTTCCTTCTCAGAGGTTGACACATGGCCGCTCTAAAGTTCAGTATTAATGTTGGATCTTAATTTAAGCCATGTGTCTTCGCCATCAGTTTTATTGGTTTGTTATAAAAGTCGGTCTTAAAACCAAACATCTGCATTTAAATTATTGCACTAGGCTTTTATTTTGCAGCAGGGATCTTTTGATGAGTCACGATTGTTCAGACGACACAAACAGCCCCAAAAAAACGTCAATGAACATTCATGTTCCCCATTTTGAACCGGGCTCTGTTCAAAGAAATATCAAAGCCTTCTGTGAGAATGATTTGGTCAAGTTATCAAAGAACACTTAAGTTTGAGGTTTGTATTGTACATTGCCTCTATTTGTCAGCAAATTTAAATAAAGGACTTCAGCAGAATATTGGGTTATTGGGTTTTTATTTATACCTGCAATGACACGTTTTTGGCCACTTGAGGGCAGCAGAAACACGTTAAAACCATAGACTGTAAATTCTGCATGGACATGGCGGGTGAATATGTTCATGTTTACAGTCTGGTTAACACACAGTTACTTACTGACGCACACATTCTCTTTTTTTAGGTGCAAAGTCCAAACCTTTATACCTTCAATCCTGAATGAGTACTAAACTTGAGCCCCATTTCAACCGTGGAAATGTCCTCCAGAACTATAGTCTTTTTGAAGAACTGTGCGTTTTGACCAAATCTACCAGGGTACAAATGTAGTTCTGGGGATTAAAAGATCTACCCCTAAAAAAGACCCAAGAGAAGTTTGAGTTTGGATGCATGTAGAGCTTGCCTACATGTACCAGGATGCATTGCAACAAGCAGCCTCAGCTTCTTTAGTCATTAAAATGTCTTTTTTTTTCCACATTCAAAATTCCTCTACATTTACTTACAAGTGATTATTTTCTGTTAATTACCTAAGTTTATAGTAAACAACCCATACAAGTAACAGCTCAGTTAAAAGTTAAATCATAACTTTTAACTTCTCATAAAATCATATTAGATCACTTGGATGAATACAAATCACTGCAGCATGATCTGAGTTGTTTCGCTCTCTCTCTCTCAGTCCATGAAGTAAAGATTGTGAACGCCCTCACTGGTTGGTTTAATGGTTAGGTTAATGCAATTATTTACTCAAAGTGAATACAGGCACCAAGACAGCTTCTATGTTTCTCGATAAAACAAGAAGCAACATATAGTTATGAAAAAGCAGTTTCTCTTTTGTAGTTCAACTCTATGGTTCACCTGAAAACATTTCTATTATTATACAGATTTTATTTTTGGCACACTTTGATTGCTACTCTGATTTTATTAACACTAACAATCGAACAACAAGCTGGATTCATCATGACAGGCAGGAGACCTCGGTGCATGACGGTTATTTCACTTCTTTTCAAAGAATCGTAAATGCACGAGAGCCATCATGAGATGCATCTTTATTTGTCAGAAAATGTAAGAAAAGGATTTCAGCTGAAGTCCTCACTTTAGTTCAGAACATTCAAACTTAATTTAGTCCAAGATGACACATTTGTTTTTAAAGATTACTTCTTACACGGCTGTCTGAGAGAATTCATGAGTAACTGACTAAACTTTGCAGCATCACATTGAGTCAAAACAAACACACTGTGGCTTTTCTTCAGCTGATTTGTGCGGTCCAGTACCATCATACCACGACAGATTGAACCCTGCAGCTCCACACGGACCGGACACTCGATTCTCTCTGTGACCAAACTGCTGTCAATACACGCCGACATGGCGTATGAATCATAAGAGACAAAGGCAGGTCCAAAGTACACATCTCTCTTGTTCAGCATGGCGTCTTCAGAGTACGCCCAGCATTCAGATGTTATCATCTTCATAAAGGCTGCAGCAGGCGTATCCTGGTTGATCAACTCTTTGAAGAAATCCTGCACAACATCAGATATCAGTTAAATCAGTTGAAAAGGAACAAACATGTAGGGTCTTGCTTGTCAAAAACACGCATCTTACCCAGGTTAGTCCGTTTCTGCAAGCATATTCCCATGATGCAACATATGTCGGGCAGAGAAACTCTTCAAGAACAATGTAAGCCGACTCCGGATCCATTGCAAAGTTAAACTCTGCACATAGAGTCACATTTCCTTTTCCTAAAAACACAGAATCAAGTTATACGAGCCAACATACATAGAACCCCAACTGTGATCTTTTTTACCTTCCATGTTTCCTCCCATAATGAACAAATCTTTGAGCTTCTGGGGAAAACTTGGATCCAGTCTGACAGCCAACGCCAGGTTAGTGAGCGGGCCGAGGGCCACCAAGGACACCTGTGGAGGATACGTTTTAATGGAAAGCAGTTTGAGAATACAAACAACACAGAGAGGTTTCTCACCTGCTTCTGGTTTTCAGTCACCAGCCTGATCATTGCATTCACTGCATGCTCTCTCTGGATTTTCTCCTCCCACTGCGGGTCTTTGTCTTTAATCACGTCTCCAAGACCATCGGTTCCAAAGTGGTCACTGATTGGGGTACTGGCTCCAACCAGAGGACCACCAGAACCCTTAAACACGGGAATCTGCAGACAGATGTTCACCTTTAGTGCAGTGATATTTGTTCACAGACATGAAGGTAAAAGTATTTTGGCTCTTATAAAAAAACTTTGTGCCTTATTGTAACTGTTTCAAGAAGTTGTTTCTTTTAATTTATGCTCACATTTGATGTATTAAAAAGCTTCTATACTTTTCAGCACATTTATCTACTATTATATCTACTATAAATTTCGATTGACTGTATAAAGAAGACCGACTTGTCTCCACCTCCTTCTGTTGTACAAGATGAAGCCAAAATCTTAATAATAATCAGTATGCTGAAGAAAAAATCAAATCTCTGAGAAATGAATCTGTAATGAACAAAATGAAAATGTTACATCAATTTACAGTGATTCTCCAACATTATTTTAGTTTAAAGTTAACACCATTCTCTCAGTGTTTTGATTTGTTTGTCAACGTTAGAAACCTTTACAGGTGTTATGAAACACATGATGAGCATACACAAACAAAACGCACAGTTCACTGTGTCGTCACGCTGACGCTGATCTGTTACTGCAGCAGGCATGAACATCACAAATAATCTACAGCAGTTATCAGTCAGACTCGTTCTGTAGTTCATGAGTTACTACAGTTGATTATTGTTTGGATATTGGCATCCACAGCGGGCAAACTGTGTAGTATGTAGAACACTTGTTATCCAGATTCAGTCATCTTTAAAAGTCTGTTTTTAGATCAGGTTGATCCATTCCAATTATACTTTAAAAACACACAGCCCGGTCGTTCATAGGTGATATTTGTACAATTGTGCGCCCCCCTGTGGACAAACTGTGAAGTGTATATTCCCATTTAGAACCAGTTAACCAGATTTGGACATCTCTAAAAGTCATGTTGATCCAATCCAGTCTTGCTTTGATAAAAAAAGGACAGACATAAGTTGGATTGGCTGATCATGCAAAGGGAAAAATAGGATTTCAAAATCTAAAACAGTCTGATCCAGATGAAACTTTTCGATCAGCTGGACATTCATATGTCTGTAAAATGTCAGAAACGTACCCCTTCCGCTCACAGACGGAGAGCACCCTCAGGACATTCTGACACACATGTTCCACTGCCGCGTTCCCAAACACACAGGTGACACCCACAATCTGGATGTTGGGGGCTGCCAGAGCCATCATGATGGCCTGAGCATCGTCTATGCCGCAGTCCGTGTCAATGATCACCTGCTTCTTTTCCATGGTCGTCTGTAGAATGTTACAACAGGTTAATACGTTACTTGACTTTTTATTCAGTAACCACAATAACTTCCCTCTTTGACATTTAATTGATCGAGAATAAAGAAAATATTAAGTACTTTTCTGCAAAGTTTCAGGAGCAGTGTGTTGGTCAATGACATAAAACAACAAAATAAACAAGCAAACAAAAATGAAGCGAAATGTTTTTTTTTTTTTTTTTTAAATTGTGTATGGATTTATTGTTCATGATAACTTAGAACACTTATGGAACACAAATTAAATGAAACCATTCAAATAAAGTTTAATGTTTTGAATTTTTATTTTTTGAATTATTGCATTTTGTATGTATTTATTCATTTAAAATCATTTGTAATAAAGAGTCATCAATTATCCTAATTAGAATGTTATTGGCTGTGGGACAAACCGGAGCATCCCGGGGAAAACTCACTAATTAATTAATTATTTATTTTTTAGGGGGGGGGGGGGGGGGGGTAGGAATTCCATCCAGTTTATTTGAAGTGCTGTTTGAATCTTTTCCACAGAGAAGGCACGGTGGTACGCGGGCTCCCTGTGGTGCTACGCAAGAAATCTCGACAATATAAAAAAAAAACCTGTTCAGCATAAAACGACTTTTTTTTTTTGTCAAACTCTTATCTTATCTGTCTTGTACCTATTGAGTTGTATTTATATCAAATGTGTTTTCCCCTCTAAATCTTTTTTTTAAAAGGCACTTTTGCCTTGACTTTTAATAAAGCGGCTCTGGTTGCACGGAGCCTGCGGAGCGCGCGCCTGCACTCTCTCGCGCGCTTTCTCTCTCTCCCGCTCCCTCTCGCTCTCTCGCGCATGCAGCAATTTTATAAATAAATTAAAAATTAAAGAACAGGTCAGAAATATACTTGGGCCCTGGTATCGTGTTTGTGTGGGAAACACTGGAGACTAAATATTCTCAAACAGGTTGTTGGTATAAAGTTTTCATTTTTATTGTTCTGCACTTTCGTTTTGATTTGGGATGTCAGAGTTGTGTTAGTTTAAGTGTCAGTTCTAGCGCTAGCCCTTATTAGTCCTATAGTGTGGCTGCCAACAGTCAATAATAAATAACCTCCTGCGTAAAATGTGTGTTGAAATAGGCCTACAGTGTATTTTAACCATAATGGTGGTACTTGGAGAGCCAAATATGTTCGGAGGTGGTACAGCAGTCTAAAAAGTTTGAGAACCTCTGTGTTAGACTGTTTGAGTTATGTTGTTACTCAGTGATTCAACCTATTAGGTTCAAAAGTGTTGTGTGACGTTTCAAAGCATCAAAGAACTTATTGCATTCACAAAACTGGATCTGACCAAGTTAAAAATAACCACACATTTAGCCTACATGACCTTGTTAAAAAGCAATACTCACGAACAAGCTCATCTTCGCCGTGTTTGTTAGCAATTGCCAACGCTGTCAGCTGCCAGGCAAACATAACAGACACCCCCCTCTCCAAAGAGGTCGAAGACGAGTGAAGATACTGTGTGGGCGGAGCTTATGAACAGACAATAACGGCGGTCTTCAGATTGTGTCCGTAGGTATTTTTGGTCCCGGTTTTTCACTCCGAGGAGAGCATCGTCTCTTTGCTGAGCAGCTCACTTCCGCGTTCGCTGCATCCTAACTATGATCCTAACGGAGCATTTCATCTTTCCTTAAATCATACAAATAATCAAGTAAGTAAATCAATTATACAGCTTCTTTACCAGCAATTGTACCCTTACCATCAGTTATAAGGACTGGTATTAGCTTTGTAGCTTATTATTAACACGGAACTAGTTAGCACGTAGGTTAGCTCGCTGCTGACATGTAAACAAACATCGTAAATTAAGGTCAGATAACTTTCGTTTAGTATCGTAGAAAAAGCTTAAAAAATAAACTTAACATACTTAACATCTTTCTCAGTTGAATACTGGGTTTGTTAAGCTTAAAGAAGCTATTTTATCTCTCCTATTGAAGTTACATTTATAAGAAATTAGCATGACCTGTCCACAGCTGGCCTATTGGTGTTTAAACTACTGTAAACAATCTATGACATTTTAATTCATGAATAATATTTACTAGGACCAAAATAAATAAAAAAAACTAAATCTTTTTCAAACCACGTTTTTAAAAAGAGGAATGAATCCATAAAGTAAAAAAAAAAATCCAAGCCAACTCCTGAACCCTGTTTAAATTGTACAAATACGTTGTTAATGTTCAAGAAACAAAACGTTGCCGACGTATTTCTGCTATTTGGCCTGCAAGAGTTTGTAAAGAACAGCGGAAGTAGTAAAAAAAAAAAAAAAACTTGACTTATAGTCTAACTTGTACGCACAATATAATTAAAGTTTCCACAAAATAATATACTGTTTTCACAAGATTATCACTTGTTTACTGTTTTCACAAGATTATCACTTGTTTACTGTTTCCACAAGATAATATACCGTTTCCACAAGATAATATACCGTTTCCACAAGATAATATACTGTTTTAACCAGATTATCACTTGTTTCCACAAGATAATATACTGTTTTCACAAGATTATCACTTGTTTCCACAAGATAATATACTGTTTTCACAGGATTATCACTTGTTCCACAAGATAATATACTGTTTTCACAGGATTATCACTTGTTTCCACAAGATAATATACTGTTTTCACAGGATTATCACTTGTTTACTGTTTTCACAAGATTATCACTTGTTTTCACAAGATAATATACTGTTTTCATAGGATCATCACTTGTTTACTGTTTTCACAAGATTATCACTTGTTTACTGTTTTCACAGGATTATCACTTGTTTCCACAAGATAATATACTGTTTCACAGGATTATCACTTGTTTCCACTAGATAATATACTGTTTTCACAGGATTATCACTTGTTTACTGTTTTCACAGGATTATCACTTGTTTACTGTTTTCATAGGATTATCACTTGTTTACTGTTTTCACAGGATTATCACTTGTTTACTGTTTTCATAGGATTATCACTTGTTTACTGTTTTCACAGGATTATCACTTGTTTACTGTTTTCATAGGATTATCACTTGTTTACTGTTTTCATAGGATTATCACTTGTTTACTGTTTTCACAGGATTATCACTTGTTTACTGTTTTCATAGGATTATCACTTGTTTACTGTTTTCACAAGATTATCACTTGTTTCCTCAAGTTAAGAATGCGTTCCTTTTCATAGTTATCTTGTGCATACAGCATTATCATATTATGCGCACACGATACATTTCTTTTACTTTTTGGGACTTCAGGGGTTTGCATTATTTTTCTCTTCTATTTTGGGGGAAGGTGTCGGGAATTTTTCGTGACTAAGAATGGAAAAATTGTATTATTAGTTCAGAACTTTTTTATCTTGTGTAACATTTCTGATTTTCTTTGGATTGTAATTTAGTCTTTGGGACCTTTTAATGTCCTCTGAACTTAAAATAATGAACTGTCATAGAAATGCCTCTTTAGGCTTTCCGTAGTAGTTTTGATCAGGAAGCAGATGTTTATTTGCTTATTCAGAGCTGATGTCAAAATGATATTTGTTTGCAGACTTGTAGCCACTTTCTTTGTCCTGCCTGTTCTTACAAACTGTTTGTCTGATGAAGGTCTGGACCTGACATGTTGCCTATAAATGAACATTTGCAAGTAAGACAGGGTGCAGGAGTTTAGCTGTAAGTTTTTTAAAATGTTCTAATCAATAAAATAATAAAAGTAAAACAAAAAGCAATTAAAAATATGAATTTGGTACCATGATAATATCAGTGAAAAAACTGTGCAGATGAATAAAAGTAATAAAATAGGAAGGATGAAATTAATATAACCAACAACAAAGTAAATGTAAAAGGAAATCATTGGAAACTTCAGACAGATTCTAAAGAAAAGACAACATGTGGGGGTCCATACAGCTGATTTAAAGTGTCAGTAGTTTGATTCTTAGAGGCAGAACTTGACATATTTGTTTGGTTTCAGGTGCTGCCTCCACGATGGCGATGGTGAAGAGCGGTTGGCTCCATCGACAGAGTGAGTAGTCATATTGAACCCTTACTGAATTTAATGTTGTACTTTATAATGTCATTGTTATCATTCTTACTGATTACGTTTATCATCATCATGATTCAAACTTTTCTGCTTTTAAATCAACATTTAAAAACTAAATTGTGTTTTTACGAATTATTTTAAATCTTTTTGAAATGCTATTAGAATGTTAATGTTTTTTATGTGTAATATTTCATTGCTATGTCTCTTATTTATTTATTGTCTTAATGAATTTGTGATTAATATTTTGTTTTTTTTCTGTTATTTTATTGAGTTCATGTCGGTGTGCAGTAAGTAACACTGTTATAGCTGCTGCCTTGTGAAGCATGTTGCTCTGATAATTGGATAAATAAATCCAGTTTTATTGATGAGGTTTGATTGATAAGTATTTCTGATATATATCTATATGATAAAGTGACTTTGAGATCCTGTAAACTTGATTGTGGTTGTGTTTGAACTGTAGCCTGTGTTTGTTGCAGGCACTATCCTGCGCCGCTGGAAAAGAAACTGGTTCGACTTGTGGGCCGACGGACGTCTCATCTTCTACAACGATCAACAAAGGCGTGACATGGAGGACGACATCCACATGAGGGTCGACTGCATCAACATCCGCAACTCAGCCGCGTGTCAAGGTAAAGGTACATGTCACCTGGTAGATGATGATGTCACCGATGAACCCTGTTTGTGTTCAGACTTGTAAGCATGTGGCCTCTGCGTCTTCTCTCAGAGCTGAACCCTCCGGAGGGAAAGACCCGGGACGCCCTGCTACAGATCGTGTGCAGAGATGGTCGAGTTATCAGCCTGTGTGCGGACAGTGCTGATGATGCTCTGTGAGACAACACACACATTATTTGTTTCTCATTTAGTTTCTACGTTAATGAGGATAACTTTTTATTTAGAGGCATTCTGTGTCTATATTTCTAGAATAACTTCTTTTCACAGCAGAGTGTCCTCTGTGTTGCAGGGCCTGGACCATGGCGCTGCAGGATGCCAGAATTAATGCGGTGAGTTTCTGCTACATTTAGATTTATTTTCATAGTAAAAATAAAATAGCTCTCGGTCCTAATTTTCTTTTTTTCTTTTCAGGTGGTAGCTACTCCTCAAATTGGATTTGCACAGGAAGCAATAGCCTCTGCTCCTCCCCCTTACTCAGAGTATGCTCCCCCAGCTCAGGTAATAGATGTAAACTTCATTAATATGACTTCATTAACCGTATATTAATTAAGTTCAAGACTGATTTATATAAAAGTCTTTTGGTCATAAACCTGACCATTTCAGGTTGAAGAGTTCTGATTTTCTCCACTAACTCAGGAATGAACAAGATAATTTATCGTGTTTTTAGGGGATTAAAAGTTTTTTTTTTAATTATGAGTCACAAGTTACAACAACATGAGACAAGCAGATGATGTATGATTATATGACACTTTATTCAAGGTCAAATTAAAATTAAACGTAACCAGTGGTGCTCATTACTGTCTACAAACTTGAATATTGTAACAAAAATAATGTAAGAATATTATTTAAAATCACCTCTGAATAAGAATATTTTCTTATGTAATGCAGACTACAATATGAGAAAAGCAGTATGTAAAAGCAATATGTACATCAGCATTAGACTTAATTTTAGGACAATATAGACCCAACAGGTTCATTCTTATTAATATATTTTGGATAGGGCAGACCCAGGGCTCTCCAGAGGGATTATATAGGTATCACATCTAGCCTGGGAACGCCTCTGATTCCCCTGAGCTGGAAAACTTTGCTTGAAAAGGGGGGAGTCTGGGTTGACCGTCTTCGAAAATGGATGGATGAGTTTTAAGATCAGAATTAAACATGTAAAGCGAGTAATGAGTATTCTCCCTCCATCTAGAAACTCTAATATTAAAAATCAGAATCAGCTTGATTGGCCAGGTATGTGTGCACATCCAAGGAATTTCAAGTTAAACAATATCATAAGAAATGAACAACCGACAAACTATGAGTGAGTATTATTCAAATGATGTATGTGTGAAGAGCGAGTGGAGAGTGTGTCGCGCTGGTTGTAGACCGCAACCCTAACCCAGAAGCCGTCAGCACTTGGATTTGTAGTTTCCACCCAGACTACAAAACTTGATACAACACTTCCTGTTCACAACCAGCTCTTTTATAAACGACAGAAATAAAGAAATGAAAACCCAAAGAACTGTCCGTAACATATGATACATCAGTTTATTAAGCTGCAGTGTCTTTACAGAGATGTGTAAGATAATGCCCAGGTTGAGTGTCCAGTATCACTGGATGTGCTCTTCTGGATGTCCGTTATGGAAACACCAAGCTAACAGGCTAGCTACAAAAAAAAACATTTCCTGCTTTCTGAATCAAGAGGGAATGAAAGGGCTCAGAGAGGATCAACAGAGTGTTGTTGTGTGCTCTTTTTCTGCAGGTTTATTCTCCGGGCCCATACGGAGAATATGTTCCATCTCCACCTCAGGCCACACAGATCATGTACTCTGCTGATGGACAGCCCTACGCTGTGGCTTATCCTTACCAGTACCAAGGTAAATATCTGCACTTTTCTCACCTCCTAATGAAATAATCATGTTGAGTGTAAGGTGTTAGTCGCTGGCTTGTGAGGAGAAGCGGGGGCACACTAAGGTTGTTTAAATGTTCAATACAAAACTATATATAAAACTGTAAAAATCTGCGCTACCTTAAAAGAAAAGACCCAAAGCTTTAAAAGAAAATTCAGCCATATTTTAAACCAAAGCCTGTAGCAAGAGAAAGAAAGAGAGAGCTGTCTACATTGCACGAATATGTGGAAATGTTTCAGGACTGAAAAGTTGCCAACACATTTGTTAAATTTCGACAGTGTGCAGGAGTTTGAGTGAAGTTTTTTGGCTGTTTGACCTTTTATAGTATCCAAGTTTAACATTGTGGTTTTCAGACATCCCTTAAACACACGGCTCCAAAGGGTTCACAGTACCGGTATATCTTGTGCTCAGTCCTCTTATTAGCAGTATACAAACAGGAAGTAGAGGACTATTTGATCCGTGAGTGCTGGATATGTGTTTGTTCAGTGACGTCAAACAGGACAATAAGAAAAAGTGTCAAATTCAGCTGACTCTCAGGGAAACACTTCTTCACTCTCCTTATACACCGCTTACACTGCTATACACTGAATTAAAGGAATGATTAATCTTCAGAGTAGAACACCAAGTGAGTTCAACTTCTGGGGATTCAATCTGTCTATTTAGGAAGCACAAGTCATTGTGAATCAGTGTCACCTGCTTTCGTGCAAATAAAAGTGACAATAAATATAAATAAGGAAAAAAGCACCCTATATGATTGTTATTCAACTAGAATGCAGAAGAGAATGACATTAACCTCATTTATTACATCATATTGTTAAGCATCTGACATCTCAGTAGGGGACTTTTAAGACATTAAATTTGTCCCCTTATTCTTTTAGTGCTTTCAGATTTGCAGAAAAATCCTGATATTTGCCGGAGGAGCTGTATGTGCGAACACAAGCAGCCAAGTTTTTCACGCAGACTTCACCTGGAGTCTCTCCTGTCAGCCCCCTAGTATTTTTTCTGCAGCAAGTCCAAGTGGGCCTATGTGAGAAAACAACAGAGTCTAATCTTGAGAATTCACCTCGAGCCAATAGGAGGGGGAGAGACGTTAATATACTGTGACTGGAGTCAGTGCGTAGACTGTCTGCACGTGACAGCTACAATCTCTGTGCATGTAATTAAACGGCTGCGGTTATGTTTTCTCTCCGTCAGTTTGTTGTTCTCCGCTCTTTTGTTGATAGTGTGATTACATCGAACTACACGTAGCATTGATATGCAGGCAAATATTATTTTTTATAGCATCTAGGGGGGAATCTGTTAGTGGTACTTCGTCCTTTACTTCAGCATCATATTTTTTACGTCAAGTCTTACCTCAGGAGACTGAGACTGTGTTTTTCTTAAATATTCAATTCAGACAGGTGCATTTTGACTCCTGCTCACTGTCTCAACTGCACACATATGTTGGAAAACATTTAGATCAGGATTTATTCATCCAATTTGGTTAGGAGAAGTCAGTCTGCGAGTTTTGATCATTAAAAACAAGAAATAACCCTATATTTGGTGCCTAGGACTTTTATTTTTGTTGCCGTGGTATCAAAGCAGGTATCTCTTTCGTTGAATACTGAAAAAGATATGTTTCTCTCTATAGTGTCATTTTTTTATGGATTAGGTGGAGTAACTGGCTGTAGGACTTGATGTAAAGAATTTATGCTCATTGCTGGTTTTTTAGCCACATTTGAAAACTAAACTTTGACACCTCCCTGATGTCATCATGTCCAGGTGGGTACGCCGCCCCCGGGGTGAACCACGTGGTGATTCGGGAGCGTCAGCGCGAGGACGGAGGAGATGTGGCGTTGGGAATGCTTGCCGGAGCAGCGACGGGTTTGGCGCTCGGCTCTCTCTTCTCCGTCTTCTAAAGTTTCTTTACCGCTCTCCGTGTTTCTGCTTCTTCTTCTTCTTCTTCTTCTTCTTCTTCTTCTCTGTGCCGTCACATGAGTCGGAGTGAAATGTGTCTGTGGGGCTACATCCATTTATGAAGCATGATTGTGATTGGCGGTGAATTACTCCCTCTGTGTCCTATATATACAAATATTTAAAGTCAATACTGTTAGCACTTTCTCATAAGCCCCGCCCCCTTTGTGTTGTCTGAATATGAATGTTATTAACCAAAAAACACAACAATTACTCGCTTTTAAAGGACAGGAAACACACAACTTTCAGATCCTCACACATTTCTCCTTCATATATGCAGATTTATCTTTTATGTTGCTCCGTGTACTGTACCTTCACTTTGTTTGTTGTGTGTTTTGAATATGCAGTGTTTCTTCCACTCCTCAGGTTATTTGTGTTTGAGGCAGGCTGAGATGAGAGGTGTGAACAGAAGATTGAACAGTATGTGAAACCCTTTTAACTTTGAACCCTTTTCACACCTGGCCAATAATCAGTGGACTCCTAATTTTAACCAATCAAAGTTACCATATCTGCAATGAGTTTAAATGAAAGTCAACAGTAGAAGCTTGTACGTTATAGCTGCAGATATCTACTTGGAACATATGAGACATTCATTTTAGTTTTATTAAATCAGATTGCTCTCACTAAAATTGACAATATGGAGGATATGTTTGCATGGAGTTCTGCCAAATTAAAGAACATTTCAATTTCTACTTGAACTTTTTCCGCTTCTGGTGGAAAGTTAAAAGGGCTGAGCGTACGCACGCACACACATGAAGCCATAATCACTCATTTTGTAGCTTTTCTGAGGAGTTTGTTGTGATTAAAGTCTAATGACATCACAAATAGTTTCATGTTTGAGGAAACGCTGACATGTTTACTGTGCTTTACATTTTAAAGAGACGTCCCTCTTTAAATGCATGCTTTATTTGATGCTTTATTTAAGGCCATTATTTCATTGGCAGCTTTAAATCAGTCTTATAGTTTAAAACACTTTTGATGTGATTTTTTTTATTTTGTTTGTCAGTAGATTTGATACAGCACAAAAAGTCTAATCAGGTTTATTCTTCTGTTGGGTCCCACTTCAGTTGAAACATCTCACTTCTATTATTCTGTGGATTATATTCATTCACTAGAAATCAGTTTGAGTCTGCTTTCAGTCAAAGGTTATTGATAGCTATTGACAGCTTATTGATATTTAATAATGACACTAATAAACACAAGTTTTTCCTATTTATCAAACTGTCAGCTTGTGTGAGCAGCGTAACAATGATGTAATTTTTCTGAAACTGTTTAACATGTGACATGAACCTGTTTTATTCCTCTTATTAAAACTACTCACATTTAGACCCTCGCGTGTTTCAAATTCAAATATATGAAGGTCAACTAAGATGTATTTTAACAATTAAATATATTCACAAAGCAATCGACTCCTGGTTTTTGATTTCAAGTTTTTTATTCAACCTTTTTTGTTCACAGAATATTTTTAAAGGAAATAAAAAGTGCAAATAACCGGCATCAGTTTTATCATAGTAACAAACAAGTGACCTCAGTAAACACCGAAAGAAAATGTCAATACAAAAACAGAATTCACACTAAGAACAAACACGCTTTCAGCGTCTTGATGGGATCAATAGTTCATTACAATCGATCAGTCACTGACAGTACGAGTGTAGAAAACATGCAGACATTTTAGCACATGAAAGAATGAGCAATGCTTATAAAGTAGTGAATGTATATTATTTAAATTTAAACAAAGAAACCCTGAAGGCACCTTTAGAGGCTGCTAGAGGCCTACTTACTTACTTACTGCTTCATTTGTCATAGTCAAAATACAAACAAATAGATATAGCACATTCCAATAAACGTTTAAGTAAGTTTTTAATGAGTTTTTCTGTTACAAAAATGGTTCACCATGTTATAGTAGCTCACTCAACTTGGAAGTTGCGCAAATGGAGGTCAATTGTTCTTTAAAATTTATATTTGATGGCTGAAGGAATAAAAAAAAACACTTGAGGCTGCTTCCAAAAGTGAGTCAGTCCCCATAGAGCCTCATGTTAAAATGTCCATCTTTACAGCAGAAATAAACATGTTTACAGCCTGGTACAAAAAAAAATTGGTACAGGGTTGGTTTTAATATAAATCGTCTGTTTTGATTTTATTAAGGCTAAGGGGCGTGGCTGTTCTGACTAACAGGTGGGCGTGTGGTAGCTGTTTGACAGGAGGCTTAAGGCCCTCCTCAGCTCCACCTCTTTATTTGTGTAGATTAGCTGTAATTCAGCATTTCCAGCATGGCGACCTCCATTGCTGGGCCTCAAAACATCTCTTCAGGAACCAAAGGGTGTTGTCACTGAGACTAAGTCCATTTTTCATACAGTCTATGGCTCCACCCTCTTGATCAAATATAACACTTCATGCTCTAAAATAAAGATGGAGCCTGCATGAAAGCTTCACTCGAGCCTTGAAGAAACAGGATAGGACAGATACAGTCTGTGCTATTAACTTGCTTTTCATTTGTAACACAAATTCTTATCTTTGCTTTATGTTCCGGTAACTTTTCATGGGTATTTTTTAAATCATTTTTGACTTTTAAAGGAGAGAGAAATCAAGATTAATCAAATGAGAGAAAACATGACAGTGAAAGACATCATAAGTTACAGTCCTCATTCCATGAGCTTTGAGTGATCGAATGTTTTCAACCTTCCTGACCAAAATCTTCAGTAAACTTTCTCAGTTTCTCCAAATCATCGTCGTTCACTGTGGGTTTGGTCTTGGTCTGCGATCTCAGCATGTCGTCCTGCACGGAAAATATCAGATTAGGGTTGTCACAATACCAGAATTTTAAACTGTGATATTATTTTATCTGTTTCAGTACAGCCTCAAGGGGACACTCAGGGAACTGCAGTTTTTTGCAACTCTACATTGGCTTCATTTTTCAACACCAGAGGTTAGTCTAAAATGTAAGACCATTTTAGACAATATGGTACAATTCCAATACCTGTGATGGTAACGTATAGCAGAAAAAAAACAGATTTTGAGATCAGAAGAGCAGCCAGCCGCCTGGGCTAACATGATGCCATTGAAGCAGTTACACTTCAGAAGATTTCACAAATCATTAAGTACTGCATGTTTTGGCACATCAGGCACATCGTGATAGTTATCATAGGAGAAGGACTTTCTCTGGCTATGGAGCACATTTTGACAAATCTATCTTCCCAGCAGCAAATTCCTCCTTTTAATGTCTTTATAAGATATTTGTGAAAAAAAGGAAAAGTTAAACTTACCTTCTCCTGATGGCAGAATCAAGTGTCCATGGTATATTTGTGGCTCCCAGCACGAGGATTCCCTCATTATCGTTCCCGACACCTGAGAGGAGAAACACATCTCAAACACCTCATCAAAACAAAACAACAGCTACTTCAGGTTATCTCCTGCTTCTCACCCTGCATCTGCACCAAGAACTCAGTCTTGATCCTTCGTGCTGCCTCGCTGTCATTCTCGCTCCAAGAGCCACAGAGAGAATCGATCTCATCGATGAAAATGATTGACGGTTTGTGTTCTCGGGCCATACTGAACAGACTCTTTACCAACCTTTAGAAAGAACCAACACATGTTAAATCTCTGTTTGCTGTATTTTATCATTATGTTAGGAAGCTGGGCCTCACTTTTCACTCTCCCCGAGCCACTTGGACACGAGGTCGGAGGAAGAGATGGACAAGAAGGTGGAGTTGTTTGCTTCTGTGGCGACTGCCTTAGCCAGGTAGGACTTCCCTGTTCCCGTAGGTCCAAACAGAAGAATCTCCCACCAAGGAGTCCTCTTTCCTACACAGACAGACACGTCATCATTGATTATGGTTCATTATGAGGAGGGACAGTCTATGGGAGGGTTACGGTCTGCTTATGTTTGCTGTAGATTTGACACCAATCCAGAATTTGAAACTTGTTGATATGATTCTCGTAAAAATTTGATGCACTTCATTTTAAGTGGATTTTCAAATGAAACCATATATCAAAGTTAGATAATAGAGGATGCAAGTCAAGTATGAGGGACAGAAAATGACTAAAGTTTAAATAAATAAATAAATAAATAAATGTTGGGAGAAATGCATACAATAATGTATAAATAAATAAATAATTAAATAAATGCATCAATAAATATATAAATAAATATATAATGCTGAAAACAATACATCAATGAAAAAATAATAAATACACTTTGTTAGTGAAAAAGGCTATTTATATATTTGTACATGTATTTATTAATTTATTAGTGTATTTCTACAGTTACACATCTATTTATTTCTGTGTCCATGTTGTAAGAGGAAAAGTATATATGTAAATTTGCTTCTGTCTGTTTTTCAAAATTGACCAATCCTACTTCAGTAATGTTAGGATGGCCCACTTAATTTACATATTTACTTTTCCTTGTACAACATGGACACAGAAATACATCAATAAATATATGAATATATGTATTTATGTATTAATTTTTATATTAATTGTTGCATTTATTTATATATATATATATATTGAGGCGTTTATTTAATTATTTATTTATTTATACTTTAATAATTTTTGTCCTCATAGGCAAGGAGGACCTGCTGCTATATAAATAAACCTTACTTAGCCTACTTACTTACTTACTGCTTCATTTGTCATAGTCAAAATACAAACAAATAGATATAGCACATTCCAATAAACGTTTAAGTAAGTTTTTAATAAGTTTTTCTGTTCACCTGTTTATGTTATAGTAGCTCACTCAACTTGGAAGTTGCGCAAATTTGTACAGAGGACTAAAAAACGTTTTTTTCCAATATTTCTGGTTAAACGTTACTATGGCAACAGTTTGTAGGCTCCTTCAACGCCGTAAGAGCAATTATAACTGTCTGAGAATATTAGTGACCACACTTCACCTTTCGTCTGTGGAGTAGCCTACACTTTGAAGGGTGACAACTGGAGGATCATCCGATGGTTTACTCCAACACGTTGATGTGATTTGATAAGTCAAAGTTAATACAAATATAATAAACAAAACAAAAAAATCAGTATCGAGAGGAAAATGTAGCCGGTATTTGATCTCAACATTTTCACAAGGATTTTTATTTTCTTATCCAGATTTAATTATTCCCCCCCCCCCCCCCGTTACTCCTAGAATGGTACAGCCCGACCGAGCTGCACAGGAAGTGGAAACGAGTTAAGAAGACATCTCGGCGTTACAATCATCAATTTATGATGCCTATACAAATATGTACCTCAATTCAATGACTTTCGGCTAGCTTGTTGTTTTTCCAGTTTCCTGCCCTGTTTGGCTCTCAGATACTGCAAAAGGTAAGGTTTAAAAAGAGATAACGGAACAGCTGGGCGTGTTTGCATTTGCTAACCACAACACAACACAACTGTGTACATGTAGCTGTGTGTGCATCTCGTTCATCTCCACTGTAGGCTGTTTGGTTTACAGGTGAAATGTTAGTTAATGTTCATTAAGCCCAAAGCTAACTAAAGTCGAGACACCCTGCTTTTATAATAGGTGATGTATTGTAGGTTCAAGATAATGTTCATGCTCCTCTCTCATTTGTACAAAACGCACAGAGATCCTTAATGTGATCAGATGTTTGTGTGTTGTCTCTTCTGTCATCCTCTCATATATCTGTAGTTTCTTATTATGCCTGTACTCTGTTCTCCAGGTGGAAACGACAGCTATAAATTCAGCATCACAGTCATCCGTTATAGTAAAGTGGCCATTCAATGCCTAACACATCAGAAGGTCAAGGAGCAAACCTCTCTGGGCCAGCAGAACCGTCAGGGCTGCAGAGGCCTCCCGATGGACAAGAGGAACACGGCCTGATGACCTCCATCATCCGAGATGCTGCCAGAGTAAGAAGGGCTTCCAGTGCTGAGCTGCACCTGCCCTGGACCTGCCCGGTCACACACTCCCGTGAGAAGTTCTACACAGTCTGCTCCGATTATGCTCTTCTCAACCAGGCTGCTTCTGTGTACCGACCCCCAAACACAGCCATGGACCGGTTGACGGGTGATGGCCCTTCGCTGCTGAAGCCCAAACCGTCTACTGACTTCAGTGCTGGCCAGTCTGGAGGGAGCCATGCTGGATCAGACGGGGACAATGACATGATGGAGGTGTCCTGTTCCAACACTAAGCCTATCTTGGCCTGGGAGATTGATACTACAGACTTCAATGCTGTGCTCACAAGAAAAACAAGAACAAGTAAGAAAAGCACATCATAGAAGCCTGTTTGATGTCTGTATACAGGTCGAAATAAAAGTCAAACTTGCACAAACATGCACAGTATTGTGCTTCACTCTAAGCTGATATATGTAGTAGTGTTCTCATAATACTCAATCTTAAAGTATTCAATGTAACTAGTAAAATCCAAATGATATTGATACCTGTTTTGGTACCACAGCAACAAAAAAACAAGGTCCGTGGCATCAGATATTGGTTAAAGTGTCATTTTTAATGACCTAAAGATACAGGCTAACTCCTGCACACTGTTGAAACAGCTGAAGCATGTTGGCAACATTTTGGAAATCCAAACTATGCCAATGTATTTGTATAATTTAGACAGTGCTCTTTGTCCTTAGCTCACAGTAGCTGTGGTTAAAAATATGACAGGAGATTATTAATATTTTTATGCTTTGCTACTTTTAGACACTATCTATTAAAACGACATTAGTTGAATCATTTTAAAACAGATCTTATTGAAAAGTACTGAATTTTGAAGAGAATAGAATTAGATTTTATTTGTATTTAATATTATTATTTATTGGGTAAGTATGTAAAAAATCCAAATGTTTTCATGCTATTATTTTTTAAGTTAAGTGAGTTTGTTTACTTTTTTAGTAGTTTGTGTTATTTTGTTGGATCAAAAAAAGTGAACAAAGCAGCCTGCTATGTCAGTGTTTCCATAGATGACACAGATAAACAAAGCTCCACAGGTGTAGTAAAATTTCAATTGTGCAACCTTTTTCTTCTCATTTTCACTTCTTAACTAAAACAAGAAAAGGAATGTGGACTATTTGGCCACAATATATGCAAGGTTGTCCAAGCACTGACAGTAGATTCCTTGTTAATGAGCCGGGCAGCTATTTGGCATCCTACTTCAAAAATTTAAGATATTTGTTAAAGACAGGAATTGAAAGAATTGTAACTTTTCGTAGTTTGAATTCACAGAAAAGTATGGAATTATGAACCCTGAAATACAATGAAAGATTGTTTTGAATTCTCTTTAGTGTGGGCTTTACCTGGGGCTGTTTTTCAGGCAATGTGAAGAAAAGCATGACCAAGAAAATGAAATCTTCGGACAGATTCAGTCGTAATCTGCAGGACGTCTCTCCTCATGCCTCGCTGGAGGAGATCCAACAGAGAAAAGTGCTCGACCTCAGAAGATGGTAATGTAATATTTAGTGTCTTAAAGTGGAAACACAGTAAAACCCCATTCAAATCAGGATGTGAGAAAGATCTTAGTTCTCAAATATTTGCAAGCTGATCTGATTTATGGAAGTTTCCATGTGGCATTTCCATTACTTTCTTCCTCAGGTACTGCATCAGTCGGCCGCAGTACAAGACTTCATGTGGGATCTCGTCTCTGGTGTCCTGCTGGAATTTCCTCTATAGCACTCTGGGTGCAGGGAGGTGAGCAGCAAACAATGTCTCTTATCTGATTATTGAATAAAAACACAGCCAGACACACTTGTGATATGTTTTATTCTTGCTAGCCTTCCACCAATCTCTCAGGAGGAAGCTCTGCAAATTCTGGGTTTTCAGCCGCCCTTTGAAGAAATCAAGTTTGGTCCTTTCACCGGCAATGCCACTCTGATGCGGTAAACAAATCTATCCTTTAAAGAAACCGGTCATTTCTTGAAAATGTTTTCAGCTCAGTAATCAGTGCACGTTTCTTCTTACAGGTGGTTCAGACAAATCAACGACAATTTCCGAGTGCGGGGCTGCTCCTACATTCTGTACAAACCACATGGAAAACACAAGACGGCAGGAGAGACAGGTGAGTCCCTCGAGGTGCCTGGACAGTCCAGTCTGTGTTGTGAAACATACTGCTTTTCATTTCAAAGCCCGTTTAAACATTTTAGTATAGCCACGGCGGGGTGCAAGCAAGCAGGCGGGGTTTCCTTTATTTCACCTTAAAGCTCCTAAGAGGAGTTTTTAAGCTTGTTATGAAATAGTCTGAAATTAATATCGCTGCATCTATATGAGCTACTAAAGCAAATGGGGCCGTCGACATGAAGATTGACTACTTCCATTTGATTATTTTTAATGGCTGAAATCACTGCCGCAGGGTGGGTGTCAGAGAAAGTGATTAACTACACATAGAAATTGACTTTATTATATTTTCCACAGCAAGGTTTCTCAAGTAAGCATACATCATAAAATAAAAAGCAGAATGAGGGTTTTGGTTACAAAACACTTCTTGCACATGCAGAGGACAAAATCAGCAAAAAGATGAAGGTATCCCTTTGTCTGCAGGGTTCCCTTAAATTGACACTTAACTAAACCACATTGGTTTTGTATTGTAAATGTGTGTTAACCAGCAAAATAACATCTACCACTGCAGGATTCATTATATCTGGAGTTTGACACAGACAAGGAAAACATGAATACATTTTTTTTAACCCCAAATCCTCCTGATTCTATTTTGAATTATTGTATGGACTTAATATAAATAGAAATAATTATGACCATTATTAAAGGGAAACTTCATGTAGAGAGACAGGTATGTGTGTGTGCAGACCTGGTTAGGTGAGCTGCACACAGCGAGTGAGTTATCACACACAGGTCGAGGTTTGCAGTGTGGTTCAGTGTGAACTGTATGTCTACTCACAGAGAGATGAAACAGAAGTGAAAAGCACTCAAATCTTTTCAGCTGAAGGAGCGCTGATGAAACTAACCCAGGGGCTAAAGGATGAGTCCATGGCCTACATTTACCACTGCCAGAACCATTACTTCTGCCCAGTGGGCTTTGAAGCGACGCCACTCAAAGCAGCAAAGGCATACAGGTAGGTCACAACACTTTGATAAAAAATGAATTCCTTTTATTATTCATTTCATTATGATTTAATCCATTATAAGTATATTAAAAAGTCTTTGAACAAGGCAAACCAGTAATGTTCACAAGCCTGAATGATATGAGAAAAGTATGTGATGTCTGATGTACATTTTATTCATTTAATACTTTTTAAAACACAACATTACAAAGTCCTTTACACCTTTTAAAAGAGAAAGGAAAAACAATGCTATCCAGATATACTTACAGACATGCAAACATCCATGTTCACAATCAAGTCGCACATGGGAGGGAGACATCAGACCAAATTGAGCACGACTAGAAATAACAACAATATTTCAACAGGAAGAGTTATTCAAAGTTTAGCCTAAAGAAGTGCTTCCTTCTAGAAGAAGCCACAGCCTCAGCACATCTCAGTTACATATACAGTACCTATATCCATTCATACAGGTCTGGAGCCAACATGGCTTCACAGAGAAATGTTGAAACAGCACAGTGCAAAATGTTAAAACAACAACATAGATAACATTAATAAAAGAGTCTTAAGGGAGTGTGTGTCCAGAGTGTGAGGGGGTTGTTCACAATCTCACTTGCACACCTTGGGGTCCTTGAGGCCAACAGGTCATGGAAAGGTGGCAGATTGCAGCCAGTCACCTTCAGAGGAGAGCGCTTGCTTCGCTGCAGCCCGTCCTTGTTCTTGGCAGTGGCAGCGTGGTGATGAAGGAGAAGTTAATCATTGACTTGACATTTTATTTCAACCTGTACTGATCAGTGTCTCTCTCTGTTTGTGCAAAGGGGCACTTTACCCACAAATGAAATGGAGTACTGGATCCTGATTGGTGAACCCAGTAGGAAACATCCAGCTATACACTGTAAAAAGTAAGATTTGTTAGTGTCTGTCATATGCTATGATGAGTTGTAGTTGAGCTGTCTGTCATGAAGCCTCTCTGTTTCAGATGGATGGACATTGTGACGGACCTGAACACACAAAACCCAGAATACCTGGACATCCGTCACACCGAGAGGGGCCTCCAACGTCGCAAAACCAAAAAGGTTTTCCATCTCCCTCCTGTCTTTTTTTTTAAAATAAGGTGATTAATGTTTATATTCACGGGTCAGATGGAGACTAAAACAATGTCCCGTCTCACAGGTGGGGGGTAACCTGCACTGCATCATGGCGTTCCAGAGAGTTAACTGGCAGAAACTCGGCCCCTGGGCTCTGAACCTGGAGAACCTGCGACACGACTATCACCACTCCGGCACAGAGCGGGCCCACGCCTCCGACGAAACAGATGACAGGATTTCATCCAAGCGCCTGGCCAACGTGGGACGCTCGCACAGCATGGGGAGCCAGAAAGACAGCAGCTGGAAACGTCAGTCCAACACGGCAGAGTACAGACAGAGGAGCTCACCTGACAGCGACCTGGAGGAAGACATCACACACTGAACAGGTTTAACAGGACAGACAGAGGGAGGGTTCAATAACAGACATTACAGAGGTCTGCTGTTATTCTTTATTCAAGCAAACAAATCCCGTGCAAAGAACCAAAACCAGTAATGTCTGACTTTCTCGTCATATCTGAGGCAATAAAGCTATTTATACAACTTTAACGTTTTACTTTTTATACCTGCAACTCGTTTTCCAGCAGATACACTGCACAATAAGTGTTCAGAAGCATTAGTAGTTCAATATTAGGCGTTTTCGGACCGCAGGAAGTTCTTCATAGTTCTAAGAACCGTTGGACCGTTTTTTATTCATTCCGCACTGCTGGGACTATGAAATATTTTAGTTCCTAGAATGCCGTTAAGAGGAACCTTTTTTAGCTCCTTCTTCAGAGTAGGTACCATGGCGGTGCGAATGCAGACAGAAAAAAGATACTCAGTATGTGTAGTTCTCAAAGAACTCTTGCTCCGTGTCTGATCGGGAAATAAAGGATCTAAAATAAAAAACATACAGTAAAAAGTAACGACGCAGTGTGGGTCATACAGGGTCATTGTCAACAGACAATGTGTTGCCATAGAGACAGGACAGAAGTGCAACGCTTTTCTTCTCAGTGAACAAGCGTTTCATACAAACCAACTTACCAACTTTGTTCCCAAGCTAAATGCTAAATGCTAACTTCGCCTGCCTGGTGCTTGGTGCAAAACAGTTCTTGTACACTGTTTTCAGAGATTTTTCAATGACAAAAGACACCTTCAGCTTAGTAAATAATGAGACTATAAGTGAACAAAAAAAAAACATGATCATTAAAAATAAATATGTAGTCATTTAAAAAAATGACTCAAAAAGCAGAGTGTTGTAATTTTTATAAAATGTTACTCAGGAAGTTGTACGTCTTTAGGGACAATATGTCAATGGGAGATTAAAACTCATTTGGTGTTCCAGAGACTTTCTATAGTGGATAGGACAACACATGAGGGATGAACTAGAGTTAGCTACAATGCAAAAGTGAATAGCTTCAAAGCCTCATGGCATCAGTGAAGTGCTTCTGCAGGTTCAGGCCAAAGTAAAGCTCTGTACTAGTACAGAAAAAGATCTTACATCAAGTTTCCAATACACACATACTTGCTGAAAGGATCATTCATTGTTGGTTGTGGTCTTTCATGGGATTTGTGGATGTAAGGAAAACAGAATATTGACAGATTTGCACCTAAATATACAAATCATGTTTTAGAGACTATCAGATGGAGAATTAACTCGTTTTTAGGACCATGTTCTAGCTCTCATTAGTTTGGCACCCAATGGACAATTAAAACATGTGGATAAGTCTGATATCTTGCAGTTAATTTTTTTTTTGTTTTAGCTGACTAAATTGACTTTGAACACTAGAATCAATCAGGGGCAACCAAATGTGAGACATAGTATCCGGCTGCCAGAATAGAAAGCTAACCCGTGGAGCTCTTTTAGTACTGATGTGATCACAGTTTCAGAATGTTTCACATCTGCAGCAGCCATCTTTGTAGTTTTGGCCCTAAACCCTACTCAGTATAAGAAGCACTTGTCTTTGGACCGACCTAAAGTAGGACAGATGTAGAGTCTGTTTTCTTACAGATTTCTTCTGACACTTTTTTGTGTTTTTTTTTTTGCAGTAAAATACATTAACAATTTTATATCAGTAAACATCTTTGTGACAGCAAGATTGGTGTGCCATCCATTTGGATATCAATCTACTATTTCATTTGTTGGATACAGTGAAGCAGAACAAACATGTAGCTGTGCATGGATAGTTGCTGTGTTTTTAACCTCATGGCCGCTGCATCGTAAGTTGTTCTTGTTATTTTTCCCAACAAACAATGGATGATGTGTTTTTCAGACGAGCACACTGAAGGGTTATTTTCATCTCATTCCTCTACTCATCACAAACATTGCTCTTATTTATACTTCTACAACAAACCACCCGCAGCGATCCTGTAAAAGTGCACTTTTTACTCACCCAGCGCTGTCTAAAAACCCATTGGCTGTACATTCTTTTCAAAGACGACACTCCTCCATATGTCATCGTACAGGTGAACCCGCTTGTGTCAGTGAGGTTTGTTCAGTTCAGTGAAAACTCTGTCCAGTTTCAGTGTTGTGAAAGCAGCTGACATTTCGTAGTGCTTTGTGAAACCTACAATGAGACTGTTACATAGATGATGATCTCAGTTGTTTTTTAAAGAGCCGAGCTGTACAGAAGTGAAAGTGGAATCCTTCAATCCCTGAAAATCAATCAGAATGTGAAACCTGAGAGAGTCGACACCTGCATGGTTTATTTTCATGTTTCCATTCAGCCGCACTTTGTTCTCGTCACGACACCTGCACGGTGCCATTTGTCTTTTGATCCAACATGTTAGTCATGTTTGTGATTTGATGTAGTTGTTTATTTATTTCATTTTACAATAAATTCAGATTTATATGAACTCCTGGAGCAGAGGTCTTTCTTTACAACAGTCACATGTTCAGTCCTGTTGCACTGCAGGCGTGCAGCTTCCCTTTAGCTCCCGTCTTAACTCTGATATGTCAGCAGGGCCGATACGACAGCAGCCCCCTGGGAGAGAGGGAGAAAATCATTAGTATAATATAAGGAGGGAACAGGTTAAAAAAAACACAAAATCAATACAAGAGAAAACAGTCCAGCTTACCGATCAAGGCAGCTCCTTGTGTCCTCCACGTGTGACTCAGTTTAAGTATTGATGCTGCTGTTTTCTCTGAAGAGTGCCACCTGTGGAGGAAAAAAAGTCAAGATTTCACTAAGCCATGGCAACGATTCCACACAACGACAACAACAACAACATGTGATGTCTAAAAATAAGTGTTTACAAAGTGCACTGGTGGACAACCAGCAGCAAACACAAGAACAAAGCACATGTGCACCAAGACTGAAAGAAACAGCGTCTCTTGAAGTGGATTATGAATTACCTTCCCAGTCCTAAAAGTGTTCAGTATTAAAGTATTGAATGTCACTTGACTTTGGACTTACCCCTGCTGTCTGTCCCAATCCTCTCCACTGTTAGGATAAACCACCCAGCTCAGGTCCGGGCTCAGCAGAGACCCGGCAGAGTCCAGCAGCGGCTCCACCAGCTCGGGTGAACAACAGTTTAGTCCGACAGCAACCAGCTGAGGGGATCTGTTAGCAACCTGCACCGCATCCGTGAACAGGCTGCCGTCTGATATATGCTTCTCATCCTGACAGGGTAGAAAACATCAAGTTATTTGACAGGTGACTAATAAATCAGCTGTTGTAAAACTGATGATCCGCTGTGGTTACCTTACAAGAGAAGGCGAGCCAAGCTTTAGAGTTTGGAAACTCTCTGAGCAGCTCCACCAGAGCCTCTGCCTCTTTGATACTGGGGATCGTCTCCAAAGCAACAAGATCGGCTCCTGCTGCTGCTAAACATTCGATCTGAGGCCGGTGCCAGACTTTAAGATCCTTTGAAGAGAGAAAAAAAACACCTCCACCCAATAAATACATTTTACCTCCACAGCCAATCAATCTGACCACAGATCATCAAAGACAGAAAAAGTGAAAATCTAGGTACATTAAAAAACTTGAATCAAGGTTTGTTTTTGTCCGAGACATTTTCCTTCTTCAGTTAGACACTTAAAAAAATGTATATAACTAGATTGTTGTTGACTTTTACATACATTTAGCAGCAACACACATTTATCTGGAATCTTTTATTTCTTTAAGAAGGCCAATCATGATTTCTGGTACAAGTAGGGACGGCTGTGGCTCAGTTGGTAGAGTCGGGCGAGTTCTAACTGTAAGGTCAGGGATTCGATCTCCAGCTTCTGCTCCTGTGGCAGGACACTTAACCCCAAGTTGTTCCCGCTGCTTCGTCAGGGGCGTATGAATGTGTAGGAATGGGTATGAATGGAATTAGTTGCTCCTGATGGTCACTTTACATAGCAGCCTCTGCCATCAGTGTGTGAATAGGTGTCACATGCAGTGTAAAATCGCTTTGAGTAGTCAGAAGATTAAAAAAGCGCAATACAAGCTCAAGTCCATTTTTCATTTACATTTAGTCAGTTTCCTTTTTTAACAACAATATCCTTTTTTTCTATGTGAACTCTGGGGTAAACACTCTTTTTTCAAGACGTCAAAACGCATTTGGTGCAAATTACAGACACATTTTCCTTCATACTAAGAAAAAAAATCATCTTAAATATTTTCTTTGTATCAGAAAAAGTATTATTTTCAGTTTGTGAGGCCCTGGTGTTGAGATACCCTGAGCTTTTTCATGCTAGATATTTATACTTGAATTTACAGTCCTTGTTCTGTTGGTAGATATTTTTTCTGTAAGTTATATTTTCTCTATTCTGTTGATTTTGACCTTTTGAAGTAATAAGACCTGCATGATTAAATACACAGTCTTAGCTGTTAGAAGCTACCCACCTCCACACTCATGTCTTTTGCATAAGACCCCGTGTACTCTGATCCGTCGCACAGAAAGGCTCCATATGGTCCCACAGAGCCTGCCACCAAAAGACGTCTCTGCCCTTTAGAGATAAATGAACAAAACTCAATAAAATAGCAACACATATTACAGATAAAGCCTGTTTCACAGCTTTAAACTCTGTTCTGTACCTGTCATATGACTTTGAGAGATAAATCTCTCTACGGACTCTCTGGCCAGATGAACTCCAGACATCAGGAGCTCTCTGGCTCGTTCAGAGCTCACATCCAGGTGATTGATGAATCCTGTAATACTCGCCTGGTATGTGGCTGTTGTGATGACATCAGAACCACTGAGGAGATACCTGTAGAAATATCACCTTTTAAATAATTACTACTGTTACCTCTGTACGATCACCACATAATAAAATCTAAACTTTCAGAAGCACATTACAGCTATTACAAAGACAGCCTTCTATCATCTCAAGAACATATCAAACTCAGGTTCTTCATGACCCAATCTGACTCCGACTAACTGGTCCATGCATTCATATCCAGCAGACTAGATTACTGTAATGCCCTCTATGCTGGACTTTTCAAAAAATCAATAAAAAAACTCCAACTCATCCAAAATGTTGCAGCCAGAGTGCTAACCGGGACAAAGAAAATAGAACACATCACACCGATCCTAAAAACCCTTCACTGGCTTCCAGTTCACTGCAGAATTGAATTCAAAACAAAAACTTCTGGTTTACAAAACATTACATGGAATGGCACCTCAATATCTTTCAGACCTACTCACTCACTAAAACCCAATAAGATCCCTCAGATCAGCAGATATGGGTCTGCTGAACTTACCAAAAGTCAAGACTAAATCTGGTGAAGGTGCATTTAGTCACCATGGTGCAGTTTTATGGAATAAACTACCCGCTGACCTGAGGTCTGTAGAAACTTTAAGTTCTTTTTAGAGTGGTCTTAAAGCATTGCTTTTCTCTTGTGCCTTTGGTTGCTAGTGTGTGTGTGTGTGTGTGTGTGTGTGTGTGTGTGTGTGTGTGTGTGTGTGTGTGTGTGTGTGTGTGTGTGTGTGTGTGTGTGTGTGTGTGTGTGTACATATGGCTGGTGCATGGTTCCTGTGAGCACTCTATGTGTTGTATGGGATGGTGCATGCTCCTTTTACAAATATGTTTTGGTTTAAAGTGAGCTCTTGAATCCTTTTCATGTTTTTTCTTTGTTTTTGTTTATTATTTTAAATGAGTTTGTATTGTGTTTGTTTATTGTTTTCTTCTGTACAGCACATTGAGTTTATGTTTGTATGAAATGTGCTTTACAAATAAAATTGAATTGAATTGAATAATGTGAATACATGCCGTCTGTTTGTCAGAACAGGTGCTCAAGCCTAAACTGGCTTCTCGCCATGGATCTGCCTTCCCTGTTCTCTTTCTGTCATTCTCTCTTCACACTCTCTTTACTGTTTTCCGTTTTCTCTTAGAGGTTGGGGTCAGGAGTTTAATCACTGGGTCCTTGTTCTTTGATTAGGCATAATTATCTTGATTTTATTTCAAACACCTGTTTATTTCCCTTATTTTTCTGTTCTATTACTCATTCATTTTTGTAGTTCTTACTTTTGTTTGCTTGTTTTTTTTGTAAGTTGTTTTAAAAAAGTGCTATATAAATACAGCTATTATTTTTTATTATGTTCAATCAATTTGTCGACTGATCTTTGCAGCTTTGATATTTTACATGGACCTTACCTGTAGTGGGCGTCTCTTATGGCCTGGGGATTTGTATGCAGGAGCCTGGCGCTCCACAAAGGATCTCCCTTCATGTGTGAAACAAACAAACAGAACAAGAAAAACAAACATTTCAGTTCTTGTTTCTAAAATCTGTTTGTGTTTATCTGATGGATAAATGTGGACAACACGTTTTTTCCATTATTTTACAGATATAGACTATCACTTGGAAAGGATAAGTGGCATCATATATTTAAAAAATAATCAGCCTTTGACATACTACATGGTGGTATTTTTTAAATAAACATTTGGATAATAGTTTTATAATAATTTGGTTTATGATCACTTAAAAGATTAGTGGTGTAAAAGTTAATTCAGAATATATGCATTAAGTCTCATGGCATAAAAGACGACTTTCTTGAGACAAAATAATAACAGAAGATAATGTTGATGAGTAATCATCAGAGGTAAGAGACCATCTGGCGCCACCTGCTGGATATATTGAGGTGATAGACCCCACTGGATGAAGACCTTTTACTTGTTATGAAGTGTTTTTAAATAATTGTATTATTACTTTGACTTTGCCTTATTTGATTGTCCTTCTATGATTGCCATTCTTCTACTTTAACAAAATTATTTTAGGTCATGTTGTCTTTTTTTTTTCTAGTCAGTTGAAACCCACTGTCAGTGTCTGTTACCATGGAAATCCTTCTAACAGGCCTGTACATTAGTTAACAATCTTAACAGAGTCAAGATGGATCATTTGCTGTTTTTCACACTTGAATAGCTAACGAGAACAATCATACACAATCTGTGTAATGCAGGTTTAGGATCTTTGATAAATGCACAAAGACCTATGAGGGTCTGCTCCCTACCGTTTTAACCACTTTTGGAAACGCTCTTTGACAGAAATATTTTGTTCACGTTTGTTTATTTTTATTCAAACATATTTCATTAGGCCTACAGGCTTTTCCTTTTGCAATTTTGTATACTTTTGAGTTTAAGACACAGGACAAATGTGCATTCTTTATAATGAATCTTTTATTAGCTAAATGTCCTATTCACAAAAGTAAATTCAATGGCTCTAAGCTGCTCTTTTCAGTATTCAGGACCAACCTCAGTAATAACATGGTCTCCATAAACCTTTAGAGAAGTCTGAAGCAGTCAAGACTATTTTTATATCATAGAGTCACTGTAAGTTTTATATTAAAAAATGTTGTTCTGCAGGATTGATGCCCCAACTTATATGAATGATTGTGACACCTTGACCTTAAATCTTTAATTTATTTTTCCA